CCATTAAGCTTTTTATTAAACCAATCAGAATCACACATCTTCACAGTGTACAAAAAATACCAGGCACTTAAAATTTTATTGTTTATTTATTACTTATTATATTTTACTGCGTGCATGTATGTAAGTGCATTTTGTTAATGCCTTGTACCCTCGGGGGCCAGAGGAGGGCATCTGAGACTGGAGTTACTGGGTGTTGTGGATTGAACCTGGGCCATCTCTCCAGATTCTGCAGGCACTGTTCTAAAAGTCTCATGGACTGTCTTGTTCTCACCCAAGGGGGAATCTATAAAGTCAAACTACTTTTAGCACCAGGTTCAGAGAGGTAGGGTAACTTTCCTGAAACCATGCTTGGTAAGCAGTAACCTGACATCAGGAGGTCCACTCACAGTGACCAGCTGTCTTTGCTTCTCAGAATAATTTGTTTCTTTCCAAAATGCCTGGCCATATCTCTATTCCAAACAGACACCAGTACTTCCACAAATCCAGGCCGAACCTCCTAGTAACAGCCCCCTTCCTGTCTTTCAGAAACTACACACAAGGCCTCAGAAAGGCAGGGGTGAAGCAGGGGGATCCTTATTTCATTTCTTTCTTCCCTTCCAATGATTCCCCCCCCCTTTTTTTTTTAATGCTTTCTTGACTGGGTCTCATTATGTAGCAGTAGCTTACTTGGACTCCTAGAGATCTGCCTGCTTCTGCCTCCTGGGGGCTGGGATTAAAGGTGATTGTCACCACGCCCTGATTCTTTTTCTTCTATAGGTTCAGGAAAGGATCCAGAACTTACTCAGAACTCGTTAAAATCAATAAAATGAAAAGACAATATATAAATGAATTGTGGATTAATGGGGAGATTGGCCATCTGTTTCAGCCTGTTTGAGCTCTGCTCTTGTATAGTACTCTGTTGCCCCCATGTGGCCACTTGTAAGATGACAGGCAATAAATTTAGTAATTTTGATGGAAAATTTCAAAACTTTAAAATAATGCGGGGAGTGATATAGTTAATTTTTTAGATCTATCACTCAGATTTTAAGATCATGTATGTTTTCTATGTTTGATTTTCATTTGAATTCCAAATATCTTTGCAATGCATTAGCATGCATCTTAAAAGTCCCATTCAAGCAAATTCTATGATCAGCTCGTTTTACAGATGAGAAAACTGAGGCACAGAGAGGCTCAACAACTTGCTCAAGTTAACATGCACTGAAATCCAGATACCTTGTGGAGGCCAGGAACTTCTCATCCTAGGTTTTAACATGGCTGCCTGTACCTTTTCCAAAATGATTCACTATGCACATGTTACCTTCTATAGGAGACTTTCCAGGTCATCTAATTCATGATGTCTTCCACTGGACCATCAGCTTTTGTTGTATTGACACCCGTTTTCCATGTTAGGAAATTCGTGTTCATTCACTGTTTTGTTTTGTTTTTTGTACTCCCTTGTCTATATTGTCTCCACTCCCATTCCCTGCTCCTCAAAATCAGGGACCACATCTGATTTGTCCTCTTCTGCAGTTCATGCCCTGGCAAAGATTCGGGAAAGGGGGCAGGGCTGGAAACATTTAGCAAAATGAATGGAGGGGCTGGGTCATGTAGTGTCCAACAGCTTGGAGTATTAGAAATTGAGAAGTAAAAGCAGATACTCTGGGTTTCATAGTTAGGCCTTGCCTTAAAAACCAAAAGGCTGAGGCTTGGAAAGATAACTCAGTGGTTAAGAGTATTTACTGCTCTTCCATAGGACCCAGATTCAAATTCCATCATCTATAGGGTAGTTCACAATCATCTATAACTCCAGATCCAGGGGATTCAGCGCCCTCTTTCAGCCTCTGTAAACACCAGATAGTCAAGTGATTCACAGACAGACCTGTTGGCAAAATACTCAAACACAAAATAACTAAACCTTCAAGGAGTGTGTGTTGGGGGCAGGGAGGAGGAACTGAGGATGTAGCACTGTGGTAGAGTGACTGCCTAGTTTACTCAAGGCCCTGCGTTTGATCACGAGTACCGCAAACAGACAGACAGACAGACAATAAAATCAAGAATGGAAGAAAGGAGGGGAGAGAGAAGGAAGATAGGAAGGAAGGGTTAGCTCTTTAAGAGAGTGAAAAGCAGGTCCTAGAAGGAGAGGGGAATGGAGGGCAGAGGGGAATGCAAGATTGGCAGGTGCTCAGGGCCATGAAACATTAAGGGTGAGTGGGTGAGTCCAAAGACAGGCCCCCGCTTGGTGGGGAGGACTTTGCTCTGATTCGAGTTGTCAAATTTGGCAAATAAAAGCACAGGATGACCAGGTTAAAAATTAATTTCAGATACACAGGGAATACTTTTTAAACTATAAGTATGTTATGTGCAATGTTTATAACATACTATACTTTAAAATTATTTGCTGTGTATCTGAAATTCAAGTTTACTGGGCACTTGTCTTTTATGGAGCTATCCTATCTTGGCTCTTCGCTTGCTGCTAAGCATTGAGGGTGTTCCTGCTGACTCTAGTCTGCAGTTTAAATTCAGAATATTTTATTTTGGTTTTGCTCCTGAATAAAGAAGCACAAACTCTTGATTAATCTAAAAGAAGGACGAATTTCTCAGAGACAGATGGCAGCTTGTTACAGAAGAATGGTTCTTGAGGCTTAAGGGAGGGAAAGCTGGAGGCATCGATGTATTGTTCTGAGCCCATGGTGGCCTTCTGGAACCTGCTTGTCTCCTGGAACTTTCCTCCCCAGGTCCAGAGGTGACTTGGAGTAGTGCTTAGCTCCTGGTTGCTGCTAAAGAGGACAGGAGAGAAATACTCAGCTCAGGAAGAAAAGACAGCATAGGAAAGTGAGCTCCCTGGTGATTTGTCCATTGGTTCCAGCTCACCAAGTGGCTGGTAGCAAGGCTTCTGACATGAATGGCATGGGGCGTGGCCTTGAGGCTCTGCAGAGAAGGGAGTGCCACCTCACCCCCCACACCCTTTTCCTATCCTCCTCCCTTCCTTCCCCAGTCTTACCTCTTTTCTCATTTTTTTTTTTTACATTTTTTTTACTTCCCCAGCCATTTGTCAACTTAATTACCCAGCATCCAAAGAGGACTCTAAAGGAATAACTGATGCACAGGTTTTAATGTATGGCCCTACCTTTGCACAGATATTTGCTCCTGATGCATTCACAACTATACAACAGCATCCAACTCAACCTAGTTTATTTGCACACTCTTCTCTGATTGGTTGGTACAAATCCACCAGGCACTTAAACCTCCACTTATCCTCTGTGTGCCGACTTGCTCAATCCAGTGTCCTGGGATTCTTAGACTTGGCGCTGCTCTGTGTGCCCTTGTCTGCTCAATATAGTGTCTCCGGTGATCTCTTTGGGTTGAAGTTAAAAATCTGGATCAAGCCTGAGTATTGCCGTTGACAAAATTATGTGACCGTGATGAATCATTTTGTTGTTCTGATACTCTGTTCTTACGTCTGTCAGTGAGAAGAATTGCTTTGACTGGATTTTTACAAGAATATTCTGTAGCAGTTAGTATATTTTCAAAAGCCAGACAGCCTGAGTTCAAACTCTGCTTCTACTTACCTGCAAAATGCCCTGCACCCAATGACCTATTTCTCTTTCATCTGAATAATAAATAAAGAAGCCAAATAAGTGCATGGATATAAGAACACTTACAATAGTGCTTTTGAACATAGACCGTCTAATATGTGTTAGCATGTTACTATGATAGATATAAACATCTATTGTCTAAATATTGTTCATGTCATTATTGCCCAATCCATATGTGAGTGTAGGCTAGGAAAAATTAATTGGCTCAGAGTACAGAGGTCCCTTGATGAAGAAAACTCAAAAGAACAAAGCCCTAACCTGTTGGGCCTCAGGACTCACATTTGTAAAGTGTCTATGACAATCTCTGCCCATTTCCCAGGAGACCTCACACGTCTGGCCCATTGTAAGCCTTCAAAACAAACATGTTGCATGAGTGAATGCATGGGGCCACATGGGTGTCAGTGACACGGCAAGTTGCAGCGTTCTGTCTTGGGTGGCAGCTGGACTAACTTGTGGCCCCTGCGACTTTTTGAAGAGGAGGCCCAAGGAAGACAGGGGATGAATACCAAGCTGGCTAGTCAGGGTGGTTATGTGCTGGTCAGCATCCCACATCTAGATGATGGGATTCTGGTTAAAGCAGCCTAAAGGGATTCTTGCTGGAGACAGGTCAGGATGGGAGATGGATGAGGATGAGGAACCAAGCCAGTAGTGGGAGTGATTTGATATGAGGAATGTAGGTTCCTGTTTAAACTGACTGAGCAATCCTCTTTACCAAAACTGGGCCTTATGAGTCGGATTAGCTAGGAGATGATGGTTCAAAAGCCAGACTGAAGTTTGGTCAAGGAGAAACTCTTCCTCAGACTGAATGGGAAACACAGTGGTTATCTCTGGAGAATAGAAGTAATTTTAAATTAAAACTTTAGATGTGTGTGTGTGTGTGTGTGTGTGTGTGTGTGTGTGTGTGTTGCGGGGGAGGTAGTTAAGTGGTAGAGCGCGTGCTTAGTGGGGATAAGACTGCTTTTGACTCTTCCCCCCTACTTAAAACAAGAGTTCCTATTTGGATCATGTAGCCTCTATGTGGCTCTGGTGGATGCCACTATCTCTCACAGAAAGCGGAGTTGAGACAGAAGTGTAACTTTAGATGTTTGCAAGGAAAAGGACAGATCTCTATAACAAGACAGTGCGACCTGAGGGGAAGACAAGAGCCTAGACTTTGAAAGATCTATCAAGGCTTAGGCTTCGTTTGATCACTGACTTTTTCCTAATAATCAGTCACCTTCGGGAATCTTTTGTTCATTCATTTTCTAAGACAGAGACAAACTGCCCTCCATCTTCCAATCATCCTCTTGTCTCCCGGGGTCTAAGGACTACACCGCTCCAGGTTGCGCCCTGGAATTCTCACTTTTCCTCTGCGGGCGTCCACAAACGCTGAAGCGTGACGCCTGCTAACTACAGCTCCCAGCATGCTGTGCGCTCGCCTCGAGCGCGTCGCGCATTGCTGACGTATGCTGTAGCGCGGGGAATTTCGAGTAAAGGAGCTTCGCGGCAGGCCGGTAGCTGGTGGGCTTGTCAGGTGCGACCATGGAGGCCCTGGCCGAACCGCGGTGGCCTCCGGGGCTGGCGATGATGAAGGTGAGTGTCCCGGGAAGGCCGGGGCGCGGACGGCAGTGGTGCGAGCGGGGCGGCCCTGGCCGCGCGCATCCGCCTCGGCCCTACCCTGGCCGGCCTCGAGACGCTGCGCCTCCGTTTCCAACTCCCGAGACGGTCCGGGACACGCTGCGGCCGTCCGTCGGGAGGCCAGGATGGCCGCCCTAACGAACTCGATGGTCTGGGTTTCCGTCACAACCACCTCGTCGTCAGCATAAAGTCACTGTAATGCAGTGTCAACAATGGTGACAGCTCATCCTCCGAGGATTTCCTGTGTTAACAGTGACATCACGCGTGGACGTTGCATCGATGACTTTTTTTTTTTTTTAATTTTTATAATCCTGTAGCAAAGCAGGAGATCTGCTTACCATGGCTTTCCATTTCTCGCTAAGGCTCCTCGTTCTTGGCACGCTTGCAACCGGTTTCTCCCTGATGTGCCCTGCCTTACTCAATAACGGCACAGCTGTCTTTTATTTATTTTATTAATTTATGAGACAACTTGCCTGGCCAGTAGTCCAGGTCAAAGAGCTACCTGCTCAAGCATCCTGAGCGCCGGGTTTAAAGTCATGGGTCACTTGCCATCCCCCGACACACATCTTTTTAAAACAGAGATCAGGACCTAGGGCCAGCACTTAGCCTTTTATTTTAAGTAATTATTGCACACTGAATTATTTCATTTAAGTAACATTTCCTTGGGTGGATATTTTTTGGTTTTGGTTTTTTGACTAAGAATCATTGGGTAGTCCTTCTGCCTCTGCCCTTGAGTGCAGGCTTTTTCTTACTTTTCCTAAGAACAATGCATTTTTCTTCGACAATTGATTATTCTTTGCAAGCAGGTTTTTTGTTTGTTTTGTTTTGTTTTGTTTTTGAGACAGGGTTTCTCCTGTGTATCCCTGGCTGTTCTGGAACTCCCTCTATAGACCAGGCTGGCCTTGAACTCAGCCTCCAAGCACTGGAATTAAAGGTGTGTGCCACCACTGCCCAACACAAGCAGGCTTTTAATAGCTACATAATATTTCACATACGGATTGTTAATGACAACTTTTTTTGTTTGTGTTTGATTTTGAGACAGGCTCCCTATGTAGTATAGGCAAGCTTAGAGCTTGCTACCTAGCCCAAGCTGGCATCTAGCTTTGGATCCTCCTGCTCCTGTCTCTGAAGTGCTAGGTGTAAAAGTATGTGCCACCATAATGGTATTTGCTTATGTTTAAATTGCTTATTCTAAATAATTACTTATTTTATTTTGTGCATTGAGTGTTTTGCCTGCATGTTATGTATGCTCTACATGCATACCTGGGGCTTGTAGAGGTCAGAAGAGGGTTGGAACTGGAATCATAGATGGTCGTGAGCCATGGTATGGGTGCCAGGAATCCAAACAAGGTCCTCTGTAAGAGCAACTGGTGCTCTTAACTGCTAAGACATCTCTTCAGTCTCTGCATTTATTTTTTTCCCTTGACAGGGTTCCTCTTGTCCTTGGCTGTCCTAGAGTTCTCTCTGTAGACCAGGCTAGCTGAGAACTCAAAGAGATCTGCCTGCCTCTGTCTCCTAAGTGCTGGGACTAAAGGCGTGCACCACCACTGCCAGGCCAGTCTCTACATTTTTAAAGTAATAGATTCATATGGTTTAGGAAATACATAAAATGAAACAGACCTCCTTCCTTCCAGTTCCCTCATTGTCCAGTTCCCTGATCTTAGTAACTATGATTTATCACTTTGTTGTATCTTTTCAGAAGTTTTTCATATATGGAATACATTCTACTTTTGCAGCTTTTTTTTTTTTTTTTTTTTTTTTTTTTTTTTTTTTTTTTTTGAGTAGGTTCTCACTGCATAGTTCTGGCTGTCCTGAAACTATGTAGGTCAGACTGGTCTTGAACTCAGAGATCCTCCTGCCTCTGCCTCCCAAGTGTTGGGAAACACGTGCCACTATCCCTGACTATAGTCTACATTTTTAATTCAGTGTGTGTGTGTGTGTGTGTGTGTGTGTGTGTGTATGTGTATAGCTCAGGGTGGCAGCCAGGGCCACTTCCATGTCAGACAAAGATTCTGCCCTTCAGGTACCCCTTTAGCTTCTCACACATAGATTTCTTGAGAATAAAGCAGCCTACCATAGTTACTATCAGTACCTTTCTTAAACAGATTAAAAGATTTTAAGTTGCAAAAATAAATCCTGCTCTGCTTAGCTTGTTGTCTGAGTTGACACTGACTGTAGTTAGCTATTTTGAAGGCTTCCTCATTCGGCTGCGCTGTGGTATATCATGCAGAAAGTATTGGACTACCATGAGGAGGATGGCGATTTCAGTCTCAGAATCCTACCTCAGCCTCCGAAGGCTAGGAATACAGGTGCATGTGACCATACACTACTAGAGACATTTTAATGGTTGGCTTTACTAGTCTCCAGCTTCCTTCTTAAGCTGTGTGGAGACTCATTGTTGATACTTTCCACAGAGGTATCTGTGGTCTGAAGAGCTGGAAACATGGGAGAAGAGTAGGAATGCGGGAGCCCTTTGTGAAGGGCTAACAACAGTATGGCAAAGGAACCTGCAGCATCAGCTGTCCAAAGCAACTGGGATAACCTAAAGTTTGAATTTTTTAATATTTATTTAATTTTGGTTTTTCAAGACTGGGTTTCTCTGTGTAACAGTTCTGGCTTTCCTGGCACTCACTCTGTAGACCAGGTTGGCCTCAGACTCTCAGAGATCCACCTGCCTCTGCCTCCTGAGTTCTAGGATTAAAGGTGTACACCACACACCCAGCAAATTTGAATAATTATCGGGGCATTTTTCTCTATTTGTCATGATACTTTGTTGTTTATCTGTAGTTAGATTTTTGAATATGTATAACTCACAAATAAGTGCTATGAAATTAATTTTAGGGGAATAAAGGGAAAGTTGTGTGCCAGGTATTGATTCTGCTGTTGCTGACACATGTTTTTATATTTCAGACAATAGATGATTTGCTTCGCTGTGGGATTTGCTTTGAGTATTTCAACATTGCAGTGATAATCCCCCAGTGCTCTCACAACTGTAAGTACGTTTTGCTTGTGTTAGTAAAAGCATAATGTAGTTTTCATTAATACAGAAGATTCATTCACATTTATTTTTATCTTTCATTCTTCTATCTTGTACTTTTAGGATCTATGCTATCACCTTATCTTGAGTATGGCAGTTTCTTACCAGGTTCTTATATTTTCTACCACCTCCCCCTTTGGATATTTTTATGTCTTTTGTAGAATTTACAGCACTAAAGATTTTGGTAACAGTATATGGTTATTTGCTGAGCCCTTTAATATGTTAAGCTTCTGGATGTTTTTAGCAGAACAACAAATAAATGGTTCAACCACTTGGTGTGGAATTATAAATCTTAAACTTCAAGACAATAGAAATACAGATGCTTTTCAATATGGGATTATATTCCAGTAAACCTGTCAGGAGTTGAAAATACTGTGAACATTTTGTTAATGCACCTATTTCCTGTTGTAGCACAGTACAGGTAGAATGAACTGACACTCCTGACCAACGGGCTGATGGGGAGCTGTGCCTACTACCTCTATCTGGCATTTAAAAGTGTCGTACTGTATATTGCTAGTGGAAGGTTGTGGGGAGCAGGACCGAGGAAATCAAAATGTAAAATATAGTTTCTATTCAGTGAATGCTGTTTTTGTATTCTGGTACAGTGGGAAAATTGTCAAACAATCATAATTCAAGGACCATCTGGATTCCCTCAGAATTCTCTCATTGAAGAGTATTGCAGATCATTTTATCACTTTGCAGCTGTGTGATACTGAAAAGAGTAATACAGTAGAATTGCTTATCCTCTATGAGAAGTATGTTTTAAGTGCTTAGTGGATAAGCTTATTCCTTTGATTACCTATTTGTTAGGTGATGTGGATTTAACCACGCCCTCATACTTAACTTAGGCAAGTGCTCTGCTATGCTCCTAAGTATTTTAATAGCTTTTGTTTTGGAGGTTAGTTAACCTGTCATTTAGCTTATTGAATGTTTAGATTTTATGATCCTTTTTTGTTCTCTGCTTTAAGTTGATATTTGTCTTGGAAAGTTAAAAGTCAGTTCAGTTTGGCTTAAATGATGGTTTTATTGGGAAAAAGCTTTGACAAAAAGTTCTGTGAAGTCATAATAAGATGTTGGCAAATGTCAGCTTTACAGATACACCTACGCTGACTGTTAAGTGCCACTTACCAAGTAGATGAGTTTGTAATTATTGACCAACATTCCTCTAAATGTAAAAGACTGTTGAGTAATTTTTACTTCAGATGATAGTTCTGAGAATTAATATACAGAACTTGAGGCTGTGGAGTATGGTTTAGTGGGTAAAGAGAGGATATGAGTTCTGCTCTCTACTACCCACAAAAAAGACAAGGGTCGTGTACATCTGTAACAATAAGTCTTTACTCCAAAACCGCCTAAGCCCTGCTTCCATGTGGGCACTTTCTGCTAGGCCGCCCAAGTTCTGCCTGCTGCCATGTTAAGGTTCCAGGTAACACATAGAGATGTATATTAGGTACAAATGCTACTTGGCCAATGACTAGGATTTCTCATTTGGTAGCTCAGTCTTAATTATCACAAATCTATATATTTTATAAGACTTATCGGACACCAGTGGAAGTGTTCTGTCTTCCCGGGGTTAAATGGTGACTCCACAGAGAGGAGAAGGAAGAGAGAAAAGGAGGACTTCCTTCTTGCCCTTGCTTATATATGAGTCTCCCTGCTATGTCATTTCCTGCCTGGATCACCACTTCTTTACTGCATTTCCCAGACTCCTCCTTGACTTCTAGTCCCGCCTAACTTGTTGCCTCATTGGCCAAACAGTACTTTATTTATCATCCAGTAAGACAAACATACACAGAAGCACTTCCCCCATCTTCTCCTCTTTTCTGTCTAAATAGCCTTAGTACTGTGGACAGAGATAGATGAATCCTGGGAGCTCACTCTAGTCAGCCTACTTGGAAAAACAATAGAAACAAGAGTGAATTTCAGGTTCAGTGAGAGACCTTGTCTCTAAAATACAATGGAGGGTGATTGGCTTCCATGTGTGCATATCCAGGCAAATGCTTCCACATATACCAAAACCAAAACAAAACAAAAAACCCCTCACTGCCTGGCAGTCTATGGAAGGAATCAAGTTGTGGAGAGGGAGGAGGGATGAGCAAAGGAGCCAAGACTGCAGCCAAGTGCTGCAGAAACCTGACCTAGTGAGAACTTGAGGACCCTAGTCATAAAGGTGCAGAAACAGCATTGGACCAAACCAAGCCCTCTGAAGTGGGGTGCCAGCTAGGAGGCCAGGACAGTCTATGGAACCTCTAACAGTGGAGCCAGTCTTTAACCCTAGAGCACAAATGGACTTTGGGAGCCCATTCCCTATGGAGGGATATTATTGCAGCCCAGATACAACAAGGAGGGCCTAGGCTCTCCCCCAAATGATATGACAGATGTTGAAGGTCCCTGGTGGAGGGCCTCACTATCCTTGGGGAGGAGTTGGGGGATTGGTTGGAGGGGGTTGGTGGGGAACATGGGAGGATGGGAGGGTGAGGGAATGGGGGGGGTGGATATGCAAATAGGAGTAGTAATTAAAGAATTTAAATAAAATTAAAAAAATGAGCATGTTCGCTGGGCGGTGGTGGCACACAACTTTAATCCCAGCACTTGGGAGGCAGAGGCAGGCGGATCTCTGTGAGTTCAGCCTGGGCTACAAGAGCTAGTTCCAGGACAGCCTCCCAAGCCACACAGAAACCCTGTCTGGAAAAACCAAAAAAAAAAAAAAAAAAAAAAAAGAAATTGAGCATGTTCAATGAGGTCTGACAGATATGTCATGTAACAAGTACAGTTAAGAATCGTCAGATAAAATTCTTCCCATTTCAGTTAATGTGGTCTTTGGAATACACATAGATGTATCTATAGCTAGATTCATCATGTGTTATTGTCTTGGATTGATAGGATTGAGTCCTAGTTATTTATTGCTTGTTACTCCTTAACCATTTCAGGATTCATTGTTGTAAATCACTTGATTCGGTTTCACTCTGCTTGTTTGTTTGTTTGTAAACAAGCAATAAACATTATGTTTGCATTTAGTTATTAAAGTTAGAATGAGTTAAGAAGCAGGTTAGTTAAACTGGACCCCAAGTCATTGTGTTGTTATTCCAGATGAAGGTCACAAAGTTATGCAGAGCTGCACTCCTGGACATTCTGGAGTGCTTGTCCTTAGTTGGATGGATGGTGTTTTCTTTTTCTTTCTTTTTTATTTTTCATTTTATCTATCTATCTATCTATCTATCTATCTATCTATCTATCTATCATTCTCTATTATTCTTTGGTTTTTCGAGGCAGGGTTTCTCTGTGTAACAGCTCTGGATGTCTTGGCACTCGCTCTGGAGACTAGGCTGGACTCATGGAGATCCACCTGCCTCTGCCTCCTGAGTGCTGGGATTAAAGGTGGGAGCTGCTACCACCACCCAGCCTAGTGCTTTCCTTTGTTTTTAGCAGGAGAAAATTCCTTAGGCATTGCTGAATGGGGTTTTGCTGTGAGTGCACCTCTCCCTATATTCTGTTGTATAACAGGTCTTTCTTTAATCTTCTCATCTCTTTCAGCACAGGCCTTGGCTCTGACATTAAATTTTCTGCTGTTCTTTTTCTCCTCAAACTCTATTTTGCATTCCTTTTTGCCCCACTTGTTCTTTTTCATTGTAGACCCACAGAAGAGTGATTGCTAAGAACCACTTGAGTGTCAGTGTTCAGCTGTCTTAAAATTTCCTTTACCAAGGAAATTAATCCATTGTTTTCAATTTAGGACAAGTGTGGAAAAGCAGCCACATTCTTTGCCAAACTATCACAAGAATGTTTTCTATTTCAGTGGCTAATATTGTTCCCTTCTGAAACCTTCTGAGCTGGGCCTTCATAGTCCACACTGCTCTTAGCATTGCTGTCGTCCACACTCCTACTAGGATGGCCTGTTAAGCCCCACTTCACCTGCTTTCCTAGTCCAAAGTCTCAGAGACTGCCGTATTCCTCCAAAAACCAGCATGGTCAGGCCTATCAGAGCAATATCCCATTCCTGGCACCAACTTGGCCATCTTTCAGGTGTTCTCTTTGGTGCTGGCTCCAGTACAGGTTTCTTTTCTGGCTCTTGAGGTGCTTTCTGATTGTGGGCTCTCCTCCCTATAGAGCTGCTTGTCTAGTTTTTTGGGGAGAGGGGTAGCAGTTTAGCCTGTGACCTTGTTTTTCTGAGGAGAGTTGTTGGTTTTTCAGCTAGTTCACAACTGAATGGCAACTTCCAGCTTCTTTGCAATACCCAAAAGAGCTCAACCTGTTTTTTTGCCTATCCTAAGCCATAATATGTCCCTTCCTTTTCCCCCTTGTGGTACTGTTGTTGGAGGTGACAATACTGTATTTGTGAATATTTCCACCATCAAAATAATACTGGTTTTGCTTCCTCAACTAAATGGATTGGTTTTTAATAAGGCTCCTTAATTCAGCTGAACTTAGGTTCATGTAAAGGAGCCACCAGTGAGGTGTTACACCAGATAGTTTTCTTTGGAAGTGCATCTTACTCTGCCTCAGCTATAAAGAATTTAGTGGACACTTTCTGCTTGAGTTGTAATGTAGTTAACCTGTACTTTGTTGGCTCTTTGTGGTTAAAAAAAACCAAACCAAAACAACAAAAAACTCCCTTAGCTCTGTGTGTTGTTTTGGCACCTGCCACCCAAGTACTTGTTAAGCATAGGGTGTAGGCATCACGGGGTAGGGTGTAGGTATCTGGCACATGTATAAATTAAGCCTAGGGCTTCTGTGTGTTTCTGTGGTTCATAAATGGAGAAAAGAGGGAGTGGCATGTGCTTAGAGTTGTGAGAACATAGAAATTCATTGTACTGGATGCATTTCCTTAACAGTGCTTTTAGTTGCACATGTAAATAACTTGTGGGGCAAGAAGGCACTAGAAAATTAAAATTAAAATTATAATGATACAATGATGGTAGTATTCTAGTCTTAGGCCAAAATTTTGTTAAAAGTCAGATTCCTGCATTACTAAATAGCATAACTTCCTGTGTTGCATTTTGTGTTTTTTTGCAGATTGTTCTCTCTGTATAAGAAAATTTTTGTCCTATAAAACTCAGTGCCCAACTTGTTGTGTGGTAAGTTTTTATTTTTCTTTTAAAAAAGTTTGTTGAATGGGACAGCTTTTTTGCTTTCTGTATCCACAAAAATTCATGGGCTCATATGTAGTCACTGAATTAAACCACTTGACAGTTTCCAGGAAAGACTTATCAAGTACACGTAAGATTGTCTGCCTTTGTCCTGCCCCCCGACTGCACACACACTTAGATATGTTCTTATAAAAGACTTGGGTTTTGTTCCATTTCTCATCAGGACTTTTGATGCCCTAAATGTATTTTGTAAAGTAAAAGGCTGTAGTACTCTTTGACTCAATTTATATTTTTATGGTTTCTAACTTTTTCTAATTTCTTACTCTGGATGAAAACTACTGGTGGGATTCTTTATGAAGGACTGGTGTTTGTATTTGTAGAGGAGGCAAGAGATCGATGGCAACTGGGCTCACCCAAGCCTCCCTGGTCTCTTACCGCCCTCCCAGACCAGCCCTTTAGAACAAACATCAGCAAGTGTGCTGGCCGTTCCTGAGACTTTGTCTTGAGGTGAAAATGGAGAAAGGGAGCTAGAATGGGAAATCAAACCTGTGTCCGGGTAAAGGAAGAAGAGACCTGGCTCTCTTGAACAGGTCACTGCAGGGAGTGGAGGGATGACTGCTCTGACTGGTACATTGGGTCAGGATGTCATTGAACTTGTCTAAACTGTTTCCCTGTGCCATAAACAATGCAGCTGCCTCCCATCTCAGAGGTCTTTGCCCTTGCTGTGCTGCCTTTGCTCAGATGGTAGCACCAAGACATACCAGACCACATCTGCGCTGCAGTGCTGGCTAGTGCTTCTGGAGTTTTGAGTTACTGTTTTTAACCTTTTTTGAACACTTAGTGCCTCTTGCAGTGTTATTACTTAGAAGCATCTCTCCTTTGTTTCTGAGTAATTTAGGGAAAGCTAGAGGTTGGTATTTTGAAGAAAAATCCTTTTTCATAATGGGTTTTGTCTTAGTTTGTGCAGAGAAAATAGCAGATAGTTTTAACATGCCTTTGAGAGCTGTTATCAGGCTCCAGTTAGCAGGTCCTGATTCACTGGCTAAAATTCTGAGTTAGTATGTGATGAATTCACTTTATTTTGAGGCTTTCCTGGAAGATGTGTGGGACAGAAGGCCCCAGGAGGAGAGGTCAGATATTTTCAAAAACTGACCTTTTCCATCTGTTGTTTTTCTTTTCTAGGCAGTAACAGAACCAGACCTGAGAAATAACCGTCTTTTAGATGAACTGGTAAAAAGCATGAATTTTGCACGGTATGATTCAGTTTTGTGACTAACTTCTAACTGCCTTTGCCTTTTATGTGTTCTTCCTCCCCATCTCCATTCAGTTAGGGAGTGCAGGCTTACATACTGGAGCAGAAGGGAAGTGATGAAAGCCACTGCACACATGATAAAGCTCTAATATGTAGTCATAGGATTTTCCCTATTTGATAGAAAGTCTCCTCTTTGGGACAGTTAAGGGTTAAAGTTTGGATTAATTGGCTCTTTATTTATAGTTGATGTTGTATTGCTACTGTGTTAGGCTTTGAGGCTTCTTAATGGACAGCTCTAAGGAATACATGTGTCTATGCAGTTGTGTATACTAACACTTTTGTGTACACATATCTGTAATTGGTTCTATTTGTATGTTTTAACCTATTAATTCTTAATCATATTTACTCAGCATGTGTAATATGGTATGCTGTGTGAGACATGTAACTAACTGCTTCTCTGCAAAGCTCTCATACATAGCTTTGATCCTTAACTGTCAAATGCATGAATGTGTGAATATGACTTTGGTCACCGAAAGATATAAGAAAGCATGTTTTACCAAACATATCTTGCATTGTTTTAATCATGTTATTAGTTCACATATTCATGTATAGGAGGACTTCTTGGCTTGTTGGAGCATTCTTTGAGATACCTTGCCTCTAAAAATGTCATCAGAGTGCTATTAGAATTGCACATTTATTCATAGGTTTGTGTACTAAAGATGATCACGTTTGGTACTCTGGACTCTCCTAATGTTCATTACAGTAACTACTTTCTTAGTGAGACCACATAAGGGTGGTGTGTTTTTCTAAAGAAACTATGTGGTTCTGATTCTCCCAGTGAAGTCATTGCTTTCTTACTGTAAAGTCTCTTGTCTATTAGGGCTTTTTTTTGGTGGGGGAATTTATGTGTGGGTGTGACGTGTTCTTGTTAATGTCTGTGCACTTTCATGTGTGTGAGGGTATGGAAGGTAGGGATCAGTACACATGTGTGTGAGGGTATGGAATCTAGGGATCAGTACACATGTGTGTGGGTACACTTTCATGTGTGTGAGGCTATGGAAGCTAGAGATCAGTATTGGGTGTCTTTGGGGAGTGTTTCTCACTGACTTGAAGTTTGAAAATTTGGATAGGTCAACTAGCTAATGAGTTTCAAGGGTCTGCCTATCTCTGCCTGGCTAGCCCCAGCTTTTTTTTTTTTAATAATTCATTTATTCTTTTAAATTTCATTTTACGTTCCAACCATAGTTCTCCCCCCCCCCCCCCCCCCCCCCCCCCCCCCCCCAGTCTACCCACAGTCCATTCCTCCTCATGGGTAAAGGCTTCCATGATGAGTTAATGAAGTCCGCCATAGTAGGTTGGGGTAGGTCCAAGCCCCACTTCCATGCATCAACAGTCTCAGCTTTTTATGGGGGTCCTGGGGCTTAAACTCGGGTCCTCTTGTTACCACCAAAGTCACTTTCGACTGAACCATCCCCTCAACTTGTTTTAGTTTTGTTTTATTTTGCTTTTTAAGATTTATTTTTATTTGTCTGTGTATTTCAAGATCCCCAGATAGATTTTGTCATTCTCTTGGTGCTTGCCTTCTTTGGCATTACCATTGTTAGCATCATCCTTGAAGTGCTCATTTCTTGGATGCTCACCTTGGGCTGTGCTAGTACTTCATCTGTAAAATTAGTAGGGATGAAATAGAAGTTAATCGATATCAATACTTGTTTGAACTCTGGTCTAAGATTGATGAGGGAAGAAGTTTAATCTTATGATTAAAATGTAAGGTATTTATGTTGCTTGTTGATTTTATTTCTTGTCTTTCTCATCTGCTATTACCATTTTATATGCCATTTTGATTTTTAAAAATTTAATATTCTAAATTGAATAATAACAAGATATGGGAAATAATTTAAGAAGTTTCAGATACAGGATGACGTAGATCTTTTACATTTTCTTTTGGCCTTTGGTGTTCATTTTCAAAGAGCATGCTTTTTCTTGACTTATTTTATTTATTTATATATTTAAATTTTTTCTGCATTTTTTAAATTTAAATTAGAAACAAGATTGTTTTACATGTCAATCCCAGTTCCTTCTCTTTCCCCTCTTCCCCTGCCTCCCCCCCAACTAACACCCTACCTGTCCCATAACCTTTCTGCTCCCCGGGGAGGGCGAGGCCTTCCATAGGGGGTCTTCAGAGTCTGTCTAATCCTTTGGGATAGGGCCTAGGCCCACCCGCTTGTGTCTAGGCTCAGGGAGTATCCCTCTATGTGGAATGGGCTCCCAAAGTCCATTCCTATGCTAGGGATAAGTACTGATCTACTATAAGAGGTCCCATAGATTTCTGAGGTCTTGGCTCATTTTAATTTAAAGTAATGTTCTTGCCAGGTGTGGTGGCTAACTTTCATCCTAGCATTTGGGAAGCTGAGGCTAGAGGATAATGAGTTTGAGGTTAGCTTGGGTTACATAACAAGACCCTGTGTTTTAGGGAAGAAATTCTTAATCTACTGTTTTGAACAAAAGTTTAGTTAGATTTTTTTATTGTTTTGTAAGGAGAGCATTATTACTGCCTTAAGTGTTAAAGTATTATTTCTTCGTTTTTTAAATGGAGGTCAGTCTCCATCTATGGCATTGGTTTTATGAGTTCTTTGGGTTGGTCAAATTTGGGGTTTTCTTTAGATATTCCAAATGTAAGAATATAAATATTTTAGTCCCACCCCTCCCTAAGTTAGTTGATGGCTCTTAGGGGATGAGGAGTCATCTTCCTTCCTTCCTTCTACCCCTCCTCTTTTCCTCCTCTCACTTTCCCTCCCCCTTTTCTGAGACAGGTATTCTCTGTGTGGCACTTGCTCTGCAGACCAGGCTGGCCTTGAACTCAGAGCTCTGCTTGCCTCTGCCTCCCGAGTGTGCTGGGATTAAAGGTATGTAAACTGCCTCTGCTACCACTACATCTTTAGTGATGTAGCCATTTATAAGCTGACTCTGCTCTAGTAAGTAAACCCAGACCTTTTCTCATACAAGCAACCCTAAGTAAACTCAGTAGGGATAGAGAGAGAGAGAGAGAGAGAGAGAGAGAGAGAGAGAGGATGAAAATAGGATGATAGGACCAGGGCTTTTTGGGAGAAGAGTTCTGATGGAGTGGGAGGGGGTAATAGAGGGCAAGGGAGGTGAATATGGTCAGAATACAGTTTTATATGTTTGAAATTGTCAGAGAATTTACCAAAACATCTTAGGTAACAATAATAGAGATAATGCTCTTAGTATCTCACAAATAGGATGTGAGTTCCCCTGTGATTGTGGTTGTGTCATTTATAGCAAGCTATAATTACTTACATTCAGGTGGCACTAGGCTCTAGTTGTGGTTCTCCTATTATGATTGCAATCAAGAGATTTACCCCTTTGACTCCTGTGTCTTCATCTGAAAAGATAAATGGTGCTGTTTATGGGAGTACAGATGAGAGTTATGTAAAGGTCATTGTGATTACTTAGTACTTAGTACATTTACTTAGTACTTGGTACAGAGGAATTCGAAACCAGATTCTATTATTACTGTGCATTTCCATCTTACATACTGATGCTCTAAGGTGCTACTAAGAGTGTGCTGTAGGGGCTGGAGAAAGCACTCCAGAGGCCTGGGGTTTGATTTTTAGCACCCACATGGCAGCTTACAAAGGTCTCTAACTCCAGGCTCAGTGACTTCTTCTGGCCTCTGCAGGCACTGCATACATGCAGATAAAAACTCATACACATAAAATAAAAAGAAAAAAAAAAAGAATGTGCTTTAGTAGCCTCTGTCTTCATCAGATGATTCTAAACTGCTCTTTGCATGTTTCAGATCAGAGCAAATATTTGCAGGGGCTCTAGTAGTGTAGCTAAATTTATTATATGGCTCAATGACTTATGCACCTAGATGCATAGTGTGAGTTTTGATTCTTGGCCACAGGTGGGGCTGGCAGGCAGGCAGAGAGAATATATAGAAGGAGAGCAAGAGAGAAAGGATAGAGAAGGAGAAAAGGAGAGGAGGACATCAGGGGCCAGCCACTCATCTACTAGCCAGAAACAGAATAAGAAGGAAAGAAAAGATACACAGAAATAGAGAAAGGTAAAAGCCCGGAGGCAAAAGGTATATGGGATAATTTAAGAAAAGCTGGCTAGAAATAAGTCAAGCTAAGGCCCGGTATTCATAAGAAAGAATAAGTCTCTGTGTGATTATTTGGGAGTAAAACAAAAAAGCAAAAAACCAACCACATGAAGATCATAGGACAGTCACCAAGTATCATTCTTTGCTTTTCCACTTTGTTTGAGATGGGATCTCTTTGTGTGGCCCCTGAGCATCTGGAGTTTGTCTTATTTCTGTCTCCCCTCTCTCCACGGGGTTACTCTAGAATTACAGATGCTTGTGCTGCTACATCTGGCTTGTACATGACTTCTGGGGACCCAAACTCGGGTTGTGGAGCTTGTATGGTAAGCACTTTTACCTACTGTCTCCTCAGCCCCACACTGGAACTATCCTTTTAACTACTCTAGCAAAAGACTGGCGTCTTCCTGAACTCCGTTTTATTACCACTTAATTTGTTGATCCATTGAGTCCTACTTGTTCTGTGTTGACAATGCTTCCCAAGGCTGAGTCTGTCATCTCTTTATTGTCTAGAATCTGGTCCAAGTCATTGCTGTCCTACTAGACCTTGACCATTGCTAATTGTATTCTTATGTTTACTTTGGCTTTCCTAAAATCTGTCCTGATGCTGATAACTAAAGTGATTCCTTTAAAGCAGAGTCAGGTTATGTGTAAAGCCCATTAGTGGCAGTTCTTTGTGTTAGGCAGGCTTATGGTGCTATAATAAAGTGCCCAAGCTGTGTACCTTATAAAGAGAAAAGATGTCTTTGTTCCTTCTAGAGCTTCCAGTCCAAGATTGGGCCTTATGGGCTTACACCTTTTGTGACGATGGCACATTATAGTAAAAGGATTCCTGCATTCCAGGAAGGGGACAAAGGACAAAGAATGTGCCCACAATCCTGTGTTATGACATGCTCCAGTGGCCTAAGGACCTCCCATAGTGACCCATTTTTAAAATTAGATCCACAGCAACTCCTAAACATGCCATTTTAGCACTTAAGCCTTCAGGGAACATTTAACATCCAAACATTTGAGTTCTCCATCTCACTGGAGCAGGAGCCCAAGTCCTTTCTGAGTTAGTCCTCTGGTTGCCCTGCCATCTTGCTCCCTCTTAGACTTCTTGTTTGCCCTTTATTATTCAGTTGCCTGCCTTCTTGTTTCTCCTCTATGTGCTTGCTGTAGTTTGTAGGTGAAGCAGTGTTTTCCCAGGTGACCACTTTCCTACTTTCTCTGAACTCTGTTCTCATAGGTTACCTTCTATGAGGCTTTCTGACCAGCTATAAAGAATACTTACCTCATCTTCTCATGCTTGGCCGCAGTTTATTTTATTTTATTTTTTCTTGTGTGGGACTGGTACCCTGAGCCTTCCTCATGCTAGGGAATCTCTCTTATCGTTGAGCTGTTTTCTTAGCCCTTTGGCTGCATTGTATTTGGCTTCAATATATATATATATGTACAATAAGCCTGTTTTACCCCTTATTTCATGAGTAGAGGCTTTGCTTTCTATTGTGCTTCTCTGGCAAGAGTAGGTGGTACTGGAATAGGTTAATGGATTTTAATTTTAGCTTCGAGAATAGTTTATTGTGTGACCTTGCTGCTACTGTCTGCTGTAGTCTTTATTGACATGCCTTGAAATAAGAGAGCCAATTGGAATTCAGTTCATCTGAATTGTGGAATAAAGGGAAAAATTATCACTAGTGTGCTGAAAGGATCAGTGGTGTCTCATCTGTGGTTGAATACCGACTGTCTTCTCTCCTTTGTCATTATGAGAGGAAAGCTTTTCTCAGAACCTTCTTTGTACTAAATCAGAGACTGGAAGGAAAAGAGACTATTGAAGATGATGGTTCTCTCTCTCTATTTTTAAAAATTTGTTTCCTCTCTAAGACCAAGGTCCCTAGGTATTTCTTTTAACCTTCCTATGTTTCTCTCCTTCTGACTTCCTCTTCTTCCCTTCTTCCTTCCCCCCATCTCCCTCTTTCCTTTTCTTGATTTTTGTTAGACATGGCATCACTATGTATCTGAAATTGGACTTGAATTAGAACCTTCTGCTTCAGCCTCCTGAATGTTGAGATTCTAGGCATGTGCCACCACCTTAGCTTACTTTATTTTTAATCTTTTCTTAAATTGTGGAAGAATCTAAATATATATAAAAGTAGGGAAGATAGTATAATGAACCCCCCCTTGTATCTAACTTTTCCTGTGAAAGTGAAAATTTTTTTGCCTTTAGAAAAATTTATTGTTTTTGTTTTTACCTTTAGCTCAGGATATTTTCTGCAGTTTTAAGAGAAATGGCGGTGGTGGACATCTGTGTCTTGGTCAGTCTTGGGGGATGTCTCATTTGTTATCACCAATGATTGATTCTAGTTGTGTTTTTTTTTTTTTTAAGTAACATTTTATCAGATTGATGAGTTCTCGGCCTGCCAGGGCTGCATAATGAGACCTGTACAGAAAGAAAAGAAGAGAAAAGAAAGGAAGGAGGGAGGTAAAGAAAGAAGAGAGTCTTGATAAATGCAGACGGGCAGGAAAGGAAAACTACTCCAATAATCTTTCACAAGCAGTCACAAAAATCATTGTTGAAACAGTAAAACCTAGGCATAAAAATTTAAGATACATTGAAAAATCAGCAAATGTAACTATATTAACAAAGTAGAAAAATATATATAATCATAATGAATGCAGAAAATGCATTTGATACAATTCAGTACTAATTCATAATAAAAATAAAGTTCTCATCTGTTTCTTTTGAGTATTTTATGGCTTGATTAGTAGCTATTTTCTTTCTTCTTTATGAACATTGTAGACCAAATGTTGTAGAAGCTGCAAAATCTTTCTTTGAAAGATAGTGTATTTGTTCTGACAAACAATTAAATTACCAGCTCTTTGTTTTTGACCCACTAAGGGTTGGTGCAATGTATTATTAGATTCAATATTAGTTTTACACACACATATGTATACACATGAGTTTTATACATATAGAAGTAAAAACACACACGCATGAATAAATATTTGTGTGAACATACACACTGTGCACCTAATGGTCCCCTTTCCTAAGGTACAGCCTCTATGACATCTCACCTCTATCCTTATGGTCTTCATGAGGGTATTTCCACTTTGGCTGGGCTAAGCTAACGATCTTTCCACCATTGGCCTTTGGCATCTCTTTACCAATGTCTGTTTCCTACTAGACCCCCATGTGTTTTTTGTCCTTGTGTACCCTGGAGGTGATTGCAGATGGGTAAGGGGTTTCCTTCTTATGACTCCCACATGCCAAGCACCCTGTGTCCCTAGTCCTCATCACCTCTGCCCAGAATTGTGCTCTCTTCTCTCTAGACAGATTACTTTTCCTGCTTAGATGTCAGTTCAACATACAAATCCTAGAAAATGCTTCCAAGTGAAGGAAGATCTTGGGGCAGTGTTGGGTACTTCATATATCTCTCTTCTCCCAAGTATCAAACTTCTGTGTCGATTGTGTGGTAGTGATACTAACTGTTGCTTCATGTATTTCTCCAGATTTTACTTAGCCATTGTAGAGTAAGTCTCATATCAGCAGCTAGAACCTAATATACTTGAAGTCTTAAAAACTGCCTCTTAATTCTGATTTAGTCCTCTGTTTTTGTGATTGTGGCATAAATTCTGTGTTTTAGAGAAACAAGTGTTAATTGGGAAGATCCCAGTTTACATAATAAATGCAATGAATTACATAATAAATGTCTAATTTGACATCTTAATTTCCTGTCTTCCCCCCCCCCTTTTTTTGTATGTTTTTCAAGGACTCGCCTGTTGCAGTTTGCCTTAGAGTCACCACCCATATCTCCTGTGTCTTCCACCTCAAAGAATGTTGCTGTTAAAGTACATAATGCTGAAGCCATTAAACATCCTGTTAAACAGGGGAACAGGTTAATGGACAAGTTCCTGGTTAGAGAAACTGGTGGTTGTGTATCAGAGTTGTTGGGAAAAGAAAATGACAGGAAATTCAGCCCTCAAAAGGAGATAAATACCTCTGCTGAGATTAAAGAGACAAGTCTCATAGGAAAGACTGTACTTGGTCTTTCAGATGCTAATGGTCCTGTGACACCCTCTACATCCACCATGAAACTGGACTCTAAAGGTAGGAAGTGATTTTTATATATGCCTCTTTATACTTAAGGAAATTTCATCCATGTGGTATAAGATTAATAGACAGCACTTTTGGCGGGCGGGTAAGAAGGAATAGACATTGTCTTAGATATTGACGTTTTCAGTGCTTACAGGTAGGTTCCTTGTATTTATCATAGACTTGGAATCAGGATGATTCTTGCAGAAGTGAAACAGTTAATGCTTTTCGAGGTAGCTTTCTATTTTTAGATTGGAACACTCTCACATTATCTGGTTCCAGTGAGAGGCCTCCATTTTATACCACTGGTTGGGCACTTCCTTGATCTTCTGCCTGTGGCTTAATGCCCTTTGGCATATGACATGAACTTCAGTAACCCTGCCTTATTTCCTAGCTCTCCCTCCCAAATATCTCTTCCTACAATGTACCCATAGACTGACAGTAACTGGAAACCAGAGCTGGCATGCACCTGTATGGTAAATACAGGTTTACTGGAACATACACTTCTCCTTTGTTTACGTGTTATCTCTGATGTTTTCATGCTGCAGTGGTGCAGAGTGGCCTAATGGTGACAGAGCCAGGATTATGGCAGGGAAGGTGATTTGGAAAGCCCAAAACCAATCTCTGTGTCCTCATATTTTACTAGGACTGTGTGTGTCTTTAGCAAACCTATACAAACCCACAGTTGAAGGCCAGTAATGGGAAGGTTTTTTGTTTGTTTACTTAGTTTTTGGTTATGTGCATCTCCTACCACATCTCAACCTGCATCATTCCTTCTATGGTTTCTGCTGTTGTGTTTTTAGTTTCATAGGGAGATGTTTTCAACTCTTGTAGAACTTTTTTCCCCCCCAAATGAAATCTTAGGATGAAGCATGACATAAAGAGTAGATATAATTCTCTGTGTCCTATTAAAAAATAGGAGCAAAGAGCCTGGAGATTGTGGTGCCACAAGTCTCCCTTGCTTGGCCACTGCTTTTTACCCATGGTGGGTTCTGGTACCTTCACATTCACTGCAACTCCACAAAGATGCAGCTGTAATAAGGCATACCTGGCCCTCTGGGGAGCCGGGAGCTCGGGAGGTTCTTCCAGATTAAACCAAGCCAGCCAAGCCTTGCTTTCACTCATAGTTTTAACTTCATTACAGAGTTGTTGGGATTGCTTCTGTCCTGTGTAAGATGGTCCTAGGGCCTGGGAAAACTCATTGTTATAGTTTGCTGGTACCTTGGTAGAAAAGTTATAACTGAAGATTTTCTGATTAGCTAACTTCCAAACTTACTTGCAGTCTCTAGACCTAGGATTCTGATTATGTAACTTCCCACAAAGTAGCCAGTTACTAGTAACCGGTTTGCCTACTCTCCTTGTTCTGTGGGCTTTTCTAAGAGCAGATTAGCTGGAGTTCTCTCTTTTCTCTTAATTACTCAAAGATACCAGCTTGTTAATTTTTCTCCTTTCTTTGGCTAATAAAGTCTCTCTCTCTCTTTTTTAATGCAGTGTCTTGTCCTGTTTGTGGGGTCAACATTCCAGAAAATCACATCAACAAGCATTTAGACAGTTGCTTGTCACGTGAAGAGAAGAAGGAGAGCCTTAGAAGGTAAGAAAGCTGGGCTTAGTTGCTGACCTTCTTTGGCTGAGTCCTTTTGTGCTTTATAGCCATGAATTAAAACCAGGACTCCTTTTGCCCTGGTGACTCGTACTCCTGTTTTCTTTCCTGCTTGATTTTTCCTTCAACACTGGCTACCTTTCCATTCCCCCACTCTTGTTCTTCTTTAGCTCACACTCTGCCAAATGTCAGTAGTGGATCAGTGCTTGCTCATAGTATGACTTAGAAAAAATACTGACTTAGAATTACTTGTCTTTTTGTTGTTGTTGTTTGTTTTGAGACAGGATTTCTTTGTGTATCCCTGGCTGTCCTGGAACTTGATCTGTAGACCAGGCTGACCTCAAACTCACAGAGATCTGCCTAGGATGCACCACTACCACCAGGCTAATTCACTTATCTTTTAAATGTACTTTCTTTTTAGAATTCTCAAACTATCATGCAAAGGTCTTGCCCCAAAGAAATCAAGGACAGCTTGAATTTGGAACATGTAAAATCTTTCATAATTCTTAGGATGTTTTAATATTTTAAATAAATCTTTAAAGAATTAAAAATTTAATATTTTAAATATTAAATCAAACTTACTGTATATGTGTCTGTCTGTATTTAAATGGTGCTGAGAATTAATTCAAAGCCTACTACCTAGTGAGCTTCTTCAAAAATTAGTTTTTGAATAGGCTGTTGTATTAACATAAATGAAAATGATGCAGAAGAATATTTTTATCAGGGTATAGTGGTGTATGCCTGCAATCCTAGCATTCAGGAGGCTGAGACAGGAGAATCAAGGGCAGCATAGACTACTGAAAAGTAGGTCAGCCTAGGCTACACAGTTACATTCCAGCCCCATGTCTCTATTTTCTCCTTCCTTGCCAGAGAGTATGTATGGAATATAAAAAACTTCTCCAAAACACTGAGAGATGACACTACTAATAAGTTGTGAGATTAGTATTTGTACTCAAACTACTGTGCTACTTTGCTTCCTTTGTGTATCAAAGTCACCAAATCTAAAACTGGTCCACTTGTGTGTTCATGGAGTGATGTTTTAATTGAAGTTAATTTCAGGGCTTCAGGAATCTGGCTGGTAGAGACAATAAGGAAGAAGAAGTATCCTGTTTGAGTCTGGTGATGGTAGAGAGACGTAGTTGGAAGAGGCATGGTCAGCAAGGGAAGATTTTATTTTTAAAAGTAGGGTACAGACCCCAATCTTCTTGCCATTGTCAGATAAGTACAATAATGGTGAGCACAGGGAATGAAGCTGGGGAAAGTTGGAGAGAATAGGTTGGACTACAGAGAGCTGTGTAAGAGAGAAGGAGGCTGACAATATATATTAGAGATGCCTGGAAAGTGGGAGGAAGAGAATGATTGGCTCATGTTTCATCTGTTGTGAAGGGCATTTTCCCAAAAGCTTTCTCTCCAAAGATAGGACCATCTTACTGATTTGATTATTAAAATTAAAATGGTGCCACTCAATTCTTTGAGTAAGTTTGGAGTGAATGCAGGTTTCAAGGAATAGGCTATACTGCTGTAACTTACTAAGGCTGATGTTGAAGTGTTGCTAACTCACAGCACAAGCTGTACTTGACTCCAAGCCTGGGCAGTCCTGTGCTCACAAGGACTGCCTTCTTGTACCCACAAGTTTGTTGATGGGAATAGAATTTAGATGTTTATGTTGCTTAGTTAGGGGGAATTTGGAATACAAATCAGTAGCTCCCAGGATAACTTCTAAGCCATTAGTATCGCATGACTTGCTTTTTTACTTGTGTTTCTCCCAAGAGAATGAGTTAGAAGTAGAAAATCTGAATATTTTCTCCCTGAAGAGTAAGAAATTGGCACTGATTATCTTGTTTAGATTATTCTCTTTCTAGGCATATCTATTGTATTTTTCTAATGCTTTTAACTCTGTCTAATGGTATTCCAAATCTGGTTGCACAGGGAGTCCTGCCAGTTGGTTCCCAGTGCAACTTAGAACTTAGAACTGTGTATCTCTTAGTAGACTGAAGGTCCTGAGAAGTCCTACACTCAAGATAACTGCTGGAGTTTGTTTTGTTTGATAATTCCTAAATTTGCTTTACTCCAAGGTTTTTCTTTTTCTTCTCACAAGTCATTTGTTTACAAAATTATTCAGTCACACTTAGGGAAACAAGGAGCTGAATATTTTAGTTATATCCTCACCTGGGGTTTGGTCACATAAGAGTCCCTATGCTTTACAGTTTCCCCCCCCTCTGTCTGTCTCTCTCTCTCTCTCTCTCTCTCTCTCTCTCTCTCTCTCTTTTCGAGACAGGGTTTCTGTGGCTTTGGAGACTGTCCTGGAACTAGCTCTTGTAGACCAGGCTGGTCTCGAACTCACAGAGATCCTCCTGCTTCTGCCTCCCGAGTGCTGGGACTAAAGGCGTGCACCACCACTGTCCTGCTTACAGTCTCTTTTTACAATACTAAAAGGTCAACTGCTGGGTGTGACTAATAACCCTTACCCAACCCTATGTGGAACTGTCACTTGGTTCAGAGATTGATGTCCTGGTTCTGGGACCCCTGTCATGTGATTTAGGTTCACTGAGTCAGCATAGAAAAAACTCAGTGTCATGCCATGCTTGGGGAAATGCTTCTCTGGCTTCATAATCTCAAATTCTTACTTATTTTTATTTTGTAATAATTGGTATTTTGCCTGTATGTATGTCTGTGTAAGGGTGTCAGAAACTCTGGAACTGGAGTTACAGACAGGTGTGAGCTGTTATGTGGGCACTGGGAATTAAACCTGGGTCCTCTGGAAGAACAGCCAGCCAGTGCTCTTAGCTCCTGAGTCATCTCTCCAGTCCCCATAGTTTCAAATTCTTGACAGAGATGGTTGATGTCTGGTGTTGCTTTCATTGTGAATGCCAGTGGACACTACAGATCTTTATTAGAATTTCATAGTTGTAAATGTAATTGTCTGTCCTTGATAAAATAAATGTTTTAGTTAGAGACTTAATAAATTGCTCCTCTCTTTGTGCTTGTCATAAACACTGCAGAATGATTCAGTTGATACTACCTACTGTGATTTTATTTTACCGTAATGTCATCAATCTTGTAGAGCCCAATTGGATGCCATTATAAGAAGAACAATTTTGGAAACATATACTCTGTTAAGTTTTCCAGGTCCTTTTTTAACTAAGTAGTTATTTCTGGCTTTCAGGCTTTACTAACAGAGCATAAAGAGATAATTCAGCCAGAAAACGATCCTTGTGTGAGTAGAATTGTTTTAGCTATTCTACTGTAGTAGTGCTCTCAATGTGACCTTAGGACCACTGTATCAAATTTACCTTAGGAAACTGGAAAATAAATATTTTCGGTTTCTGCTTCTGGCCTGCACCATGTGGATGGGTCCTGTAGAGAAAGTAACTGAGCATCTGCATTTAAAACATGCTCTCCTGGTAGTTCTGTGGTCCCTGGAGTTTGGAAAGCACAGTCTTTTTGAAGTCTCCTTGCTTATCTTTTTAAAAGCTTTATTTTAAACCCTGTTACTTTTAGGATCTTATTAATTTGCTGTTGTTATTTTGAAATGATTGCAATTGTAAAGACCACTTTGAAAACTGCTTATTATGCGCCTAATAGTCCACAGAGCTGAAACCTCTACTCGGAGTGCATATGGTGCCCCCATCTATCTAGCTTTGTGTGGGTATGCATGTTCATGTGTAAGGGGTGCATGTGTATATTAGCATGTGTGTGAAAGACAGGTCAACCGTGGATATCATACTCAGGGGTATATTCTACCTTCTTTGAGACAGAGCCTCTCACTGTGACCTGGTCTTGCTGGTTTGTTAGGCTATCTGACCAGTAAGCTCTAGAGATGCCTTTGTTTTCACCTTCCCAACTTTTTAAATGGATGCCAGAGGTCAAACTCATGTTTGTGAGGCAAGCACTTCATTGACTAAACTATCTCCTTATCCTCTTCTTTTTTTATCTTAATGGCATAACTAATTTTCTAATCATTCAGTTGTTGGGAAGGTAAGTTGGTATTTTATTGAGAGTATTTGGTAATTCACAGTAATCCTCAGATCACCCTCTCTTTTTTCTCCATTTTAGTTCTGCTCACAAAAGGAAGCCGCTGCCCAAAACTGTATATAACTTGCTCTCTGATCGTGATTTAAAGAAAAAGATGAAACAGCATGGCTTATCTACTCACGGAAACAAACAGCAGCTTATCAAAAGGCACCAAGAATTTGTACACATGTACAATGCCCAGTGTGACGCTTTGCATCCTAAATCAGGTAAAGTAATACTTCTTTGCTCATCTTTGGATAAAGCAAGTGTGTAGCTCAGAGATAATCAAGCACAGGAAGAATTTTAATAAGTACCTATTTGGCAGTAAGTAAGGTATATAAATGAATCCCTTCAAGAGTTACCTAGAGAACACTATGCCAAGGCCATCTTCCTCTCAGGCTATCTCATAGCCCCAGTTCCTTTGCAGAGTAGTCATCGTTGCCAATTTTTTGAGTATCTTTACAGAGATGGCATGGTGGTAAAGAGTGATCTAGAGTCCTACAGTCCTCCTACTTTATGTTGAGTGACAATGAACAAGTCATGTCCCTGTACTTTAGTTTTCTCATCCATAAAATGAGGATTATAATCCTACATCTATCTAATGTCTTTGAGGTGAATAGGATGCATCTAAACCATCTAGTGCAGTACAGTACCTCAGCAAGTACTTAGAACTTCATGGATGTTTCCATTATGATTATTATACATAAACAAGCATCCTTAGTTGGGACTGACTCATGAAAATGTCAGTATTCTCCACATAATTTTCACTTGCCCATGCATACATTTTCAAATTCTTTATAGGTAAGAACATTAAGAATTGCCTTATGTCTAAAAAATATGAAGTGATATAAAAACTGAAAAGTTCATGTGTGGTAATTTTTCGTAACATGAAAATGCCCCATGAGATTACTGTCAGTACCCTGGAATCCCCCTCCCACATATGCTTGTCTCCATACATCTGACCACTGTGTTTTTCACTCTGCCTCCTTGAGCTAAATGAGTTGGGTAGCACAAGTTCATTCCTGGTTTCACTGCCTTCATGGTTAAAGCTCTTTTCTGCTATACTGCTTTTCTGTCTACTACTTCGTCCAGGCTCAGGCTCCTTTTCTTTTCAAATTACACATTTTTAATATTTTTCTGCTCTTGTTTTCTGTGAATTAGGGTAAGTACATTGAGCATTAGCATGCCATAGCCTGAATGTTGTATTATTGTAAGATTTCCTCAACCAAACATATTAGTCCATTATTTTTTAATTTAGCCTCACTGACATAGTCAGGACATGGGCAGAATGCAGTCATATTCTTTGTGAGAGTATAACACAAATGGCCTTGCTATAGTTCTTTGTAGAGCTCTTGCTGCCCTTTGAAACCCATTGAGTACAATCTTCGTTGTCCACATTTCAGCTTTCTGGTCTTCCTCTTTCCCACCACACTGGCCTGTCAAGCTGCACTTAGAGTATTCTAGGACTCTAGCCTGCAGCCTCACACTCTTCCACAGTTACTTGCATGTTACTTTAAAGGCCTGGGAACCACATGACCAGGCTTGTCACAATGACTCCATTTTCTGTACTGATTTGTTTGTTTGTTTTTGTTTTTCAACACAGGGTTTCTCTGTGTAGCCCTGGCTATCCTGGAACTCACTCTGTAGACCAGGCTGGCCTTGAACTCTGCCAGAGATCCATCTGCCTCTGCCTCCCAAGAGCTGGCATTAAAGGCATGTGCTACCAAGGCCAGCTTGTTTTGTATTAATTTTTTTGTATCCCAGTTACTTTTCTTATTGGTGTGATCAAATGCCTGAGAAGAAGCAACTTGAAGAAGGGACGATTTATTTTGACTCATTGATTGAGTTGATACATGAGTGGAAAGGCATGGCAGAGTCTATGATGCTGAGTGTGCAGCTGAGACTCCTTCTATCTCAGAGTGCTAGGAAGCAGAAAAATGAAAGTACTGGCATTCTGTAGAAATAGCTTGCAATTGATGTTCTGGTGTGTGTGAGCTTCTCAGTTGTGTTTTTTGTTGTCGTTTTGTTTTTATGGTTTCTTGGTAGCCGCCCTTGGCCTTTTGCAATCTTACCAAAAAGTTTAGCTGTGATCTTACTCAGATGAAGGGTCATTGTAGACTAGCTCTTGGACATTGCTTTTTGTCACCTGATACTCATGATTTCTTTCAAGCTTGCTACCTGTCTTTTGGGTTTTATGACATGTAGTTGCTGTTTGACTTTAACTCTGATAGAGTCAAGAAAAAAATTACAGTTGGATAGATTGTCTAGTTTTTCTTTGTCATTATAGTGAGGGTGATGCTGTTGTTAGCTCTCTACACCCTAAACACAATTAGAAGTCTTTCTTTGAAATAGCTTAAACCCTTAACTTGTACCCACCCTAATATAATTTTCTAACTACTGTGGAGTGTGCCAGATGTCTTGAATGGCACTTGTGTTAATGCATTGGATAGAATGTAAATGCTATTTCCTTCTATTATACCATGACTCAGTAAGTAAGCTCACAAGGAGATAAACAGTTCTTGTCACAGATGTTACTGTTTACATTGTTTCTACCAGCTTTACAATATTAAGGAGGCAGATACATCTCAGTGCCTGGAAAAGAAAATCTTCTGTTTAAGTGAAACAGTTGCTTTGAATTTAAAAACATAAATAGTAGGATTATTTGAAGTAGATGTGAAGGGGAGATTGAGGTGGGTATAGAGTGGAGACTGACCAAGAAGTATTCTCATTTCCCCCATGTATCTACCTTACAGTGAAACCAATTATCAAGCCATGTGAGTTTTTCATCTACCATTAAAAGCCTCACCATAGAATATTTTCAAGTAAATTACAGACTTAGTACCTTTTATTTATAAACGAGTATAAATGATTGTCAGTTCTTATTCTATACCTCACACACTTAAAGAGATTGACTTTTGATACCAAAAGACAGCATTTGCAAAATCTTCACAGTTTATGTTTAAAGAAAGGCATTTAATGTGTGACAGAGCATTCCCTTGATCTCCCTGCTGTGGGTGGTTTGAAACTGTCTACAGATACTGGTTTTGGAGGCAAGGGCATTTTCCTTCGTATTTGTAGATCTTTTTCTCTCCTTGGCAAGTTTCACTACATTTAATGTATCAGAGTTTGAGTGGATATCCTCTAAGAATGTAACTCATAGTAGTAAATTAGTTCTCATATTTCATTGGAATTGCTGCTTATATATTCAAGAGAGAAGGCAAAAATGACATGGTATTTCTTACAGTTTTATTTTGATACATAGAAGAGTTGAATGTTAAAATCCACATTTCTTCTTGTAATGTATTATGTTGAAATATTGTTAGACTTACTGTTTTAATTACTGTTCTGTTGTTGTGATGAAACACCAAGACCCAGGCAACTTTAAGGAAACACTTAATTGGAGGTTTGCTTATAGTTTCAGAGGGTGAGTCCATGACCATTATGGAAAGGGGTGGGTAGGTGTGGCAGGCCAGTAGCTTGGCATTGGAGTAGTACCTGAGAGCTCAAATCTGATGTCTAGGTTTCAGGCAAAGAGAGGGAGGAGGGAGAGAGGAGACTAAGTCTAAGTGGGCTTTTGAAACCTTAAAGCCAGCTCCAGTGACACACCTCTTCCAACAAAGCCACACCTCCATTAATTAGGGACCTAGCATTCAAATTTGTGAGTCAGTGGAGGCCATTCTCCTTCAAACCACCACACTTATTTTTGAAAAGTTGCAAAAAAGAGACAGGAATCCACATGTATATACACTTGTCTTTCTTTATCTTAAAACTTCATATAGGCATAGAGTAATGATCAAGCACTATAATTGAGTTTTTTTTTTTCCTTATTTTAATAGCTGCTGAAATCGTCCAAGAAATTGAAAACATGGAGAAGACCAGGATGCGCCTTGAAGCGAGTAAACTCAATGAAAATGTATGTTGAATCTTCCAGTGTCTGTGTAGTAGTTCAGGAAGGAAAGGTTGAGTTGAATTTTTAAAATTAAAAGCCAGTCTTTGTAAGTTCTTTTCAGTAGAAAATGTAATGGAACACATTGCTGTTTAGAGTATTAAGATTGCCTTACAGCTCATGTTTCTGGACAGTATTTGTGTTTAACAGACTTACAACATAAAGTACAGCCCCAAGTAGAGTTTTCTTATCAATTGGAGTCTCGTAGACAGAGCCCTTGTAGCTGATTCCTGTCTGCCATGCAGTAAAGACACTTCTCACCTCTTACTCCTGCCACTGTGGTGTTCTGCTCAGGTTCCTGGGGTCAAACAGCCATGGTCTGGACACTGAACCACCATGTGAACTAACAATTAGGAAGATGAGTATGTCACTAGGACACATTGGAAAAAAGAAACAGCTAAAGAAAAATAAAATTCTGGGGTGTGGTGGCATATACCTTTAGTCCTAGCCCTTGGGAAACAGGGGCAGGTGAGTTCAAGTCCAGCCTGGTCTACAAATTGAGTTCTAGGACAAAACAAAAAAACAAAAAAGAAAAATAAGAATATTGGGATTTGTAATCTGTGCATAAGTGTTAAACATCTTCATAAGTGTTTAGAATGAGTTGTGGGTTTACTCTGCTATCTTAGGAGAGATAATAGGACCAGGATTCACATTCAGCAGCAGTGTATTTTTTTTTATAGTTCCTTCCCCAAGCTTCTGTGAATCATGGTTCAATTTTTAATAATCTGATTTAAAGAAAATAGGGAGTTATATAGCTGTAACACAATTGCGTGCTATCAGTTTTTTTTTTTTTTTTTTTTTTTTTTTTTTTTTGATTTTTCGAGACAGGGTTTCTCTGTGTAGCTTTGGAGCCTATCCTGGCACTCGCTCTGGAGACCAGGCTGGCCTTAACTCACAGAGATCCTCCTGAGAGCTGGGATTAAGGCATGCGCCACCAACGCCCGGCTATCAGTTTTAATATATTCTTTTTTTACGATTATACTTTTATTACATGTGTATATCTTTATGAATATATGCCGTGTGTGTGTGTGTGTGTGTGTGTGTGTGTATGTGTGTGTGTGCTCGTGCTCATGCTCAAGTGTGTGCCTGTTGGAGTCCCTACAATGGTGTTGGATCCCCCGAAACTGGAGTTAGAGGCTTTTGTGAGCTGATAAGGGTGCTGGGAACTAAACTTAGATCTTCTGAGATAGGGTCTCACTTTGTAGCTTTGGCTGGCCCTGAACTCACTATATAGATCAGGCTGGCCTCAAACTCACAGGAATCTATTTACCTGCCTCTGCTTCCCAAGTACTGGGATTAAAGGTGTGTACCAGCACTCCCAGTTACTTTAATACTCTTGTTTTTTTTTTTTTTTAAATTATTTAAAAAATGTTTCTCATAGAATATAGTTTAATCATACTGTTTTTCCTCCCCCAACTCCTCCTACTTCTTAACCCACTCAGCTTCATGTTTTCTTTCTCCAATAACAACAAAAATTCCAAGAAACAACAACAAAAATTGGAAAAATAAAAGAATAAGACAAAAAAAATAAGAAAATAGTGCACCAAAAGAAAAGAAAAAGGAGTCCGTTTTGTATTTGCCAACTACAAGGCATGAGTGGTGTTGATATACCCAGTGACACTCTATTGGTGAAAAATGGTATTCCCTTTGCCAGGAGGTATCAGTTACAAATAGCTTCTTGTTTAGGGGCAAGACTTTGTGTTCACTTCCCCTTCCCAATGTTGGGAATTTTGTCTGGTTTGAATTTGTGCAGGTCTTGTGCATGCTGTCACAGCCTCTGAATTCAAATGTGTATCAGTCCTGATGTGTCTGGAAGACCCTGTTTCCTTGGAGTCATCTACTACCACCTTCGGCTCCTGAAGTCTTTCCACTTTCTCTTCTATGTAGGGTTTGATAAAGACATCCCATTTAGGGCTGAGTGTTCCAAAGTCTCTCACTCTGTGGACATTGTCCAGATGTTATATTTTGTTAATTACCATCTACTTCAAGAAGCTTCTCTGATGAAAGTCAATCAATGCTCTGATATATGGATATAGCAGTATGTCATTAGAAATCATTGTATTGCTGTTTTCCATGAACAGAATAATAGGTTTTTTCCTAGGCCTATGGCTAGCTAGTCTCAGGTTCTTGACACTTGAACAGTGTCAGGTGTGGGTTCTGGCTCATGGAGTGGGCTTTAAATCCAATAAAATAAAAGTAGCTGGTTATTCCTATAACATTGTGCCTCTATTGTACCAGTATATCATGTACGTAGGTGTCTGTTTGTAGGTTGCAGGGTTTGTATCTGAGTGATATTAATAATTGCTTTCTTACTTTAGTAGTATGCAAGAATATCATCCAGTACTATGAACACTCATTAATAGGGGTAAAGCTTCTAGTTGGACACCAGCTCAGTTTCTCCATGTTTGATGACATCAGTAATAGGGCCTTACCACCAGATTGTAGAGAATAGCCAATAGGCTTGGCAATAGGTTGCCAATGATTCAACAGATGTAGACTATTCCTGTCACTGGAGGTTTTACTTGGTGACATAAGATGTCTAATTAGGGCATTGACGCCATTTAAATTTCTTTCATATGTGTATATTTTAGGAAACTTCTGTAGTGGTAGATTTCCATATGGCTTTTCAAAAAGCCTTTAGTGTGAGGTTTCCCTCTCTCTAATCACTCCTTTATTGTACCCTTTCATTCCCCTTCCCATTTAGTCTTCCTGATTTCTCCGTGTCCTATTTCCTTTTCTTTGGAATATCACACCCCTCCCTGGTCTCTTACTAGGTACCTAACCTCTGTGTTATTCGGGTCGAAATACGTATGTCTAAAGCTTAAAAGTTGACATCCATATACAAAAGACAACATGGAATACTTTTCTTTTAGGTCTAAGTTAACCTCACTCAGGATGATTGCTTCTAGCTCAATCTATTTACCTTCAAATTTCATTATTTCATTTATCTTAACAGCTGAATAATCCATTTATCAGTTGTTGGACATCTAGGCTATCTGCAATTTAAGGCCATTATGACTAGAACAGCAATGAACATTATTGCTGCCTGTGTGGCCAGCCTCCAGGAGTGCAGGTATAAATGGTGAATTACCAATATTTAACCAGATAAGATTAGAGTATATTTATTAGGGAATATGCCTTACTTACAGAACACCTAGCCAGCCGCTAGGAAACATAGTAAGCAGAGCACACTGATGAAGCAGTGAAAAAGAACTACTATGTGCATCCCCTAACTCTTAAAAACTCTCCCAAGTCACCCTGACATCACCTTGACCATGCCCCGATGGGTGTGGTCGGGCACACCTGTAGCCAGCCCCTACGAGGCATGGTTATGGTGTCCCCCTGCATGCAGGGCTTGAAAGGAATCCACAGCATGGCACATGATAGACTTTGCTATATGGGGGAGTTAGGGGAAAAGACATTCACACTCTCTCTTGATGGTTGCTTTATTTTCTCTTCTTCTGTATTCTTTCCATGTTCTTTTTACTGTATACTTTTTTTTTTTTTTATCCTACAGCTTATATATCCCAACAAAGATGTTCAGGCAATATAGGAATTAAAATGTGGTTACATTCTATTTTTCAAGTGAATGATTATAATGAATACAGGTAAAACATGGTTTTTTTTTTCATTTCTTTCAGATGATTAGACATTTTACATATTAAGGTGAAAAACAAATTATCCCAAGAACCCACTTACAGTCATATCCAAGCAACTTGTTATAGATTAACTGTAGACAAGCAAGATATTCTTCTCAGTCAGGTCTTTTGCTGGCAGGCTGTGTTTCATAGTTACAGAGAAAGTACCAATTACTTTATTACTAATCTTGAAAGGTAATCTTATAAGGAATCTTTAAAGGAATGACAAACCTAAACTTTTTTTTTATGAAAAAGAATTAGTTAACTCTACTTTAAACCTTTAGGGTGTATACCCACTTATCAATAGTTTCTTATATCTGGAGATTGAGGGCAGATATTAACTATCACTTTTGGTCATCAACCAATCCTAGCAGGGAAGACACATCAGCTAATAATAATTGGACTGCTTTCTTCTTCTTTCCCAACATTAATGAGTTCCTCATTCAACTATGTGTCTTTACAAAACCTTAGATTATCTTCTTGTCTTTTTTACCTCAAAGCTATTTGACAAAAACACCTTAGTCTAACTTTAAGTTATTTTCAAAGCCTTCTTTTAGCTATGCACCCAGAAACCTGTGAACACATCTCCCAACATTAAGATGAAAAGAATTTAAGCTAGCTGGGCTACTGGAACTCAGTTGTTTTTCTTAACTTAAGCCACAGTCTATACTGCTCCTCAATAGAAACTCATGTATTCTAGCTGTGTGACACTTCCTTGTATAAATTTTTATTCACCAAAACTCTGCATAAACTAACATTATTATTAACAATCAGGTAGTATAGCTTAGGAAGGAGTCATCTTCATAATAATCCACAGGTAAAAATGCCCAGTAGAACGGGATGTTTCCATGAGATAAACACACTAAGTTACAGGCAGTAGGGATCTCCCCACATGCATTCACACCATGCCAAAGACCAGAGAAAGATAGCAGCAGCAAGAAGGCACAGCAGAAGCAAAAGACATCTCAGGGTCTGTGGTCTCGGGGCCTTGCATATCTGAGATTCCCCATCAGGGAGCTGCTTCCTGGTGAGATGACATCTTGAACTTCATTTGTCACCTGCTGCTCCTCTGACATAGCTGGCAGAACATGGATGAACAAGTTTCTCAGTAGTAGGATATGGAGTCTTTTGGATATATACTCAAGATGGGTATAGCTAGATCTTGAGATAAATTGATTTTTGGCTTCTTGAGGACCCACCACATTGATTTCCATAGTGACTGTACCAGTTTACACTCCCACCAGCAGTGAGTTAAGTATTCCCTTTCCCTGCATCCTCATCAGCATATGTTGTCATTTGTTTACTGATTTTGGCCATTCTGACCGGGGTGAGATGAAATGTCAAAGCAGTTTTAATTTCCTTGTTGTCTAAGGATATTGAACATTTTAAATATGTTTCTCAGCCAGTTGTGTTTCATCTTTTGAAAACTGTTTAATTCTGTACCCCATTTTAAAATTGGGTTATTTTGTTTTCTTTATATTTGGATTTTTTTATTCCTTATATATTGTAGATACTAACCCTCTATCAGATTTCCTATTCTGTAGGCTGACACTTTGCTTGAATGATGGTGTCCTTTGCTATACAGAAGCTTTTAGCTTTATGAGGTCCCATTTGTTAATTGTTAGTCTTATTGCCTGTGTTGTTGATGTCCTGTCTGGAAATTCCCTTTCTGGGTCAATGAATTCAAGCCTATTCTCTACTTTTTCTTCTATAAGATTCAGTATATCTAGTTGTACATTGAGGTCCTTGGTCCATCTAGAGTTGAGTTTTGAGCAGGGCGATGGCTCTGGATCTATTTTTATTCTTCTACATGCAGCTATCCAGTTTGACCAGCACCATTTGTTGGAGATACTGCATTACTCCAATGTGTATGTTTAGTTTCTTTGTCAAAAATTAGGTGTTATAGGTGTGTGGAATTATGTCTGGGTCTTAAGTTCTATTCCACTGATCAACATGTCTTCTTATGTCAATATCATGTTTTTTCAAATGATTGTAGCTCTATAATATAATTTGAAATCTGGGATGGTGGTACCTTCAGCAGTTCTTTTATAGCTCAGGAGGGTTTAGGCTATCTTGGGTTTTGTGTGTCTAACTTAATATTCTTAATATGGAAATAAACTTTAATTTACAAAATGTACTTCAAGAATTAGAAAAGAGGACGGGTGGTGGTGGTGGTGCATGCCTTTAATCCCAGCACTCAGGAGGCAGAAGCAGGTGGATCTCTCTGAGTTTGAGGCCAGACTGGTCTACATAGTGAGTTCCAGGACAGCCAGGACTACACAAAAAGAAACTCTGTCTCAAAAAGCAAAACAAACAAAAAAATTAGCAAAGAGATTCCTGCAAGTTTCAAAGCAGAAAGAGGAAATGACATCTACAACTAAAAAATCAGACTGGCTTAGAAATTTGTCTTTGTTTTCTTAATATATTTTAATTGCTTTTAGTAACCACAGAAACAGTGGATTTCTTTATGGTGTTTTCATACATTTATATAATTTTACTTTGCTCATATTGACCCCATCCATCCCTTGTATTGGCTCCCTTCCTTTACCAAATATTTCCCCATAATATTTTACTTGAAAAACCTTATATATGCAGAAAGATGGAGAAATGGTACTACCCTTTGCTGTCAAAGGTTTATTGCCTGACAGGATTTTCCTCCCTTGTTTGTCTTCTAGATACAGGTTTATATGTGTTTTGATTTTTGGTAATTTTTTTTCTCAACTACTTGGAGTTGGATACTGATACTTTACACATTTTATTTGGATGTTTCTATTTATGGGAAGAACCAAAACTTTAAATCTCTTCACAAGTGAATCTCACCTTTGCCTAAAATCCATAACTACTGCCAAGCTACTTATTATACCATGAACATTTGTCAAATTATGTAAACAACTGGGGCTGTAGATGGCTCATCAGGTAAAATCAGTTGCTGTATTAGCATCAGAGCTTGAGTTCAGATCTCCAGCACTCTTGTAAAAAGTCAGGCATGGCTATGTATGCCTGTAACTCCATTGATGTGGGAGTGGGAACAGGAGGATTGCTAGGGCTTGCTGCTCATCAACCTTGCCCTAGGTTCAGTGAGAAGCCCTGTCTCAAGAAAATAAGACAGATGGTGTTCATATGTGCACAAGCATGCACATCCATGCATACTTGGATATATACCACATACACACTTGAGCACATACATAAAATTATGTAAACAACCTCTCAGATTTCACTGTGATATTGTTAAAGAAGAAAACAGTATTTAATCATGGTTCGATTTCCTTCTTGGATGCCATTTAGTTTGAGGGAAAAGTTGGTTTTCCTTTTCTGTTGATTAAAAAAAAATCTGTTGATGAGAGACAAATAATAAGACTATACTGTCTATGATAGTTGGAGGAAATGTGCAAGTTACTCAGAAAGCAGATTGTCTTGTTCTGTTTTAGCAGCCACATTTGAGACCTTGAAACTTCTGCACTGATTTCTATTTTTGTCATTTTGGATGGAATTCTAAAGACTTTTTAATTATTCTTTTAGGTCATGGTTTTTACAAAGGACCAAACAGAGAAGGAAATAGATGAAATTCACAGTAAATATCGTAAGTTGTACAACATGTCCTTATTGTAAAGAATCTTAGTTGCTGTTTTATGTCTTAAGTAATTAAAAAATGATATTAGTGTGCAAAATAATCTTGTTAATGTTGCTTCAGAGATTGGGATTTAGTGGGTGTCTGCGTTTTTAAGATCTGTGACTAACATTCTGCATTGAGCTCATCGTCACCAAGTACTGGCAATATGAATTTGTTCTCAGAAACCGTTCTGTGAGAAGATGGGGGGACATAGAAGCATTCAGGTCGCATCAAGTCTCAGGCTTTCAGTAACAGTTTTACTGTAAGGAGGTACAACACTTCTTTGGCTTGAGGTTTGTGTCAGAATTTGATTTCCTTCTCTTGTTAGCGTTCTTTCACACTTTATGATTTTCTTTTCTGTAAGTGGTCTGATGGGGATGTCCTTCTATATATATGTTTCTCATATTGGTTGATGAATAGAACACTGTCTGGCCAATAAGCTAGGAAGATAGGCGGGTCTAGGATTAGGAGAATTCTGGGACAGGTAGGCAGAGAGAACTCACCAAATACAGTCGCCGTGTAGGCCGCCAGAGGAGTAACAGGTCCAGGCATTCTCCAGTAAGCCAAGACCATGTGGAAATACATAGATTTATAGAAATGTGTTAATAATTAAGACAGAGCCAATAAGAGGCCCTGGTTATTGGCCAACAGTTTAATAACTAATATCACATCTGTGTGTTTATTTGGGGCTAACAGCTGCAGGACCAGGCTGGGGGAAAGAACTACCAGCAACAGTGGTCTGCTTATATATCTTTGCCAGATCACACCTTATTGTTTTTGTTAACTAGGTAGTTGTTATTTCTTATTTACTTAGCTAATTGGCTTTTCCCTCCCTCCCTCCCTCCTTCCCTCTTCTCTCTCTCTCTCTCTCTCTCTCTCTCTCTCTCTCTCTCTTTCTTTCTTTCTTTCTTTCTTTCTTTCTTTCTTTCGGGACAGGGTCTCTTTGTGTAGCCCTGGCTATTCTGGAGCTTGCTGTAGTCTTGGCTGGCTGGTTTTGAACCCACAGAGATCTGACTGCCTCTACTTTTTAATTTTAATTTTGTTTTATTTTTGAAGCACTGAGGATTGAATTCAAGGCCTTGCATACAGTAGACTAGCATTCTTGGAAGAGTTAAGTCTCTAGCCTCAAATTTAATGAGGACTGAAATCCTATTCTTCCTGGTTCTGGCTGAATCTCCTCATTCTCCCCATTCTTCCTCTCTCTCCTCCTCCCTCTTTCTCTCAGTCTCCCTCTCTTTCTCTGTCTCTCTTTGTTTATTGAATCTGGGTCTTGCCCAGTAGCCCAAGCTGTCCTCAGCCTTCCAAGTGCTGTGTATGTAAGTGAGCACCATTATACTAGTTAAGGGCCAGCAAGTAGCACATAATGAATGTTGGTTGAGTGTTCCAGTTATGGTATGATTTCATTGTGCTCAGATAAAGTTTTCTTTCTTCCTTCCATTCTTACTTTGGAGGGCAGATTCAGCAGCAGGGAAGGAGACTGAAACACTCACATAGTCCCAGTTTGGTTTTTATGCCCTGATACACACCATGACCAAAAGCAACTCAGGGAGGAAAGTGTACTATCTGTCATGGAGGGAAGTCAGGCAGGGGCCTGGAGGCAGGAACTGATGCAGACTCCATGCAGAAACAGGCTTGCTCAGCCTGTTTGCTTATGCAACCCAGGACCTGCCCATGGGTAGCACTGCCCACAGTGGGCTGGGTCATCCCTTATCAATTATTAATCAAGAAAATGCCCCACAGGCTTGCCTACAGGTCAGAATGATGGGGCATTGTCTTACCTGAGGTTTCCTCTTCCCAAAAGACCCTAGCTTGTGTCAGCTGACAAAAAACTACCTTCCCCCAGGAGATGTAGTTACTACAGTATGTGTCTGGTGGAGTACATGTTTACGATGTATTTGATCAGATTAACCTACTCATTTTCTTCTTGTCTGTGTTCGTGTGCCTCAGTGAGTTGAATTAGAATTGTTCACAGCAGTGTGGGTGAGTGGTTATTTACAGGAGCACTGGCACCTTACTATTGTTTATACAACTGATGAAAACTATAACTACCTATTGATTCTCAGGGCTTGGGGGCTCATGAGGGCCCTGTCAGAATGTTAACAGGGCCTCTATTGTGCCATAATTGTAGCTGCTGTAAGTTCAAGGGTGCAGCCCTATATAAGGTTCAGAAGACAGCCTTCCAATGGTGTAGGTGTCTCTTTTACAGCTGCCCATTGAACAGTCACTCTCAATACTTTGAGCCAATTCTGAGTTTCTGCAGTAAATGCCACCACTGCAGAGAGTAGTTTCTCTCACCAAACTGGCAGCAAGCATGAACATAAATATTAGAAAGCATTTTAATGGTCATAGCATGTTCATTTGGCAAAACAGCAGTAATAGCTTCCATGTATTCTACAGCCACTAGCTTACAGTAATGGGCACAGATACTGTCCTGTAGAGTGGGCCTCAAATCTTGGCAGGTCAGCAATGTAGCAAAATTTTCTCTCTATCCAATTTTCTCCCTCTCCAAAATGTAAAAATAAGTGTACAGTTCTACTTTGAGGCAGATGGAGTAATGGACTTGACTGACTTTCCTCCATCGTTCCCTCCCCAAATTTATCTGGTGAAATATATGTTAATGTTTGTCTTAGATGTTGGCAAACAGGTGGCACAGGACTGTGAGGGGAAAACAAGATGGAAAACACTGTAGTCTGGTAGCAGTTTTCAGGCAATACCATGCGAAACCTGTTGCTACCATTGAGCTGAGACAGACATCATAGTTCTTGGCAGCCAAGGTAGCCAGAATTTGTGGCATAGTACCAGTGAGAAGGCAACTGTGGAGAGAAGACAGCTCCAGACATCTGTGAAAGAAGCCAGTTAGTTACTCCTGGTTGTCTGAAAGGACAGGCAGAACAATTTCTGGAGTCCACACCAGAAGAGTGGCTTGCATCCCTATCAGACCAGGCAGGAAAGCCTCATAAAATACGGGACCTCAAGCAGAATCCCCAGATAATGCCTCAAAAGCAAAGCCAATTCACCTGCCAGTGTTAGGGCTTCTATTGCTGTACTAAATCCCATGACCAAAAGCAACCTGAGGAGGAAAGTGTATTTCATCTTACTGTGTGTAGTCTATGGTCTAGGAAAGTCTGGCAGGAACTCTAGGCAGGAGTTGATACAGGGACCACTGAGGAGTGTTACTTACTTCTTCTCATATCTTGCTCAGTCTGCTTTTTAAAAGCAATCAGGACCACCAGCCCAAGAGTGGCACCACCCTGAGTGATCTGGGTCCTCCCACATTAGTCATCGATCACAGGCCAATCTTGTGGTTGTCCCTTGCAATTCCCTCTCCCAAATGACTCTAGTTTGTGTCTAATTAACATAAAACTAGCTAGCACATCACCTCAGAGCCAGGGAATGAGCAATTTAGGCTCTTCAGGCTGCATGTGCTTTGCCACATCCTCTTTACTTTTTTATATTATTTTAATTGTTATATATGTACATGGCTATTTTGCCCATATGCATGTTTGTACATCATGTGCAGCCCTGGTCAGAAGAGGGTGGCTGACCCACTGGAACAGGAGTTACAGACAGGTCAGAGCCATCAGAAGAGGTAGGAATTAGGAAACTGTCACACTCACAGTGTCATATGTAATTTTCCTAACATTCTAATATCTATGTCCTAATTTTCTCCTGTCAGAAATACTTTTGTTCATCTTTTTTGACATTCCTGTTCTGTCATCCATTTCTGAGAATATGTGTATCAGAATTCAAGATCGATTGGCTATACTTTTTGTGCTTTCACTTAAAAATGATATCTTAAGCCAGGTATGGTAGCAATCAGGAAGCTGAGGCAAGGGATTGTATGTTTGAGGTTAGCCTGATATATATTCCAGGACCTGTCTCCAAAAGAAAAGTCTTTGAAGGAAGAATTTCAGGAATCTTTAGCTGTGCTGTACTCTGAAATACCCTGTTTTAGAATATAGGGAAGAGGAGCCCACCTACAAAGAAAACTGCCATCGTATTTACTTGAGGGAGAAGGAGAACTGAGAGTGTAGTTTGGGGTTTTGTAGACAGGTGGAAGCATGAATTGTGCTCCACCTGTTGCTGGGAAATATGTGAAAAGCAGTGGGGGGGGGGGGACAGTAGATTTTTGAGTTTGTATCAGCAAACCTTGACAGCGTGCTTTCTTCTAGAATGGTTTCATGGAAAGGAGGAGTCAGAAGTACTCAGTTGGTTGAGACCAAATTGGAAGAAGTGAGACCATTAAAAAAGTAGACAGTAATAAAAAAGGATAAAAACAAACAAAAGCCGTGTGGCAATGGTGAAGGCCTTTAATTCCAGCACTCAGGAGGCAGAGGTAGGCGGATCTCTGTGAGTGAGTTCGAGGCTAGCCTGGTCTACAAAGCTACACAGAGAAACTCTGTCTTGAAAAAAGAGAAAAAAAAGTAGATAGCTTGGGCAGGAAAGATGGCTCAGCCATTAAAGGCTAGGCTTACAACCAAAAAGTAGTCAGCTCTTTGGCGAAGTATTACTGTGTCAGGGAGAGTAGAAAAATGTGGTAGCTGGAGGGGGGGTGTTTTAAAATTTGTTTTTTTTTTTTTTTTTTTTTTTTTTTTTGTAAAAGTTGAGAGGTACTTATCTCAGTATCTTTTAGGCTTTTGGAATGCAGCCCATAGCCAGAAATGCTTCTTATACCACCACTAACTATGTAGTAATGATGGAAGTTTCTGTCCTGTTCCATCCTACAGCCATTTAGTCCCAAATAAACACACAGAGGCTTATATTAATTATAAACTGTTTGGCCGATGGCTATTGGCTAACTCTCTCTTAATTATCAACCCATTTCTATTAAAGTATCTAATGCCATGAGGCTGTGGCTTACCCAATGCTCTGGCATGTTATTTCTTCGGCAGCTACATGGCATTTCCCTCGAGAGTCTCTCTGTTTTCCTCTTCTCAGCATTCCTAGTCTGGTAGCCCTGCCTATACTTCTTGTCTGTCTACCGGCCAATCAGCATTTATTCACCAACAAATAAGAGAAACATTCACAGCATACAGAAAGAAGGACATCCCCCATCAATGTACATGTTATAGAAACAAATTTCACAAAACCGTATTTCCCTTTACCATTCTTGTTGCATGTTGGTACCCTCCATTCTGCCCTCTGTTTCATTAAGAAATGAAAAGCCAGTCCCTGAGCTATACTAAGTTTTTATATTTTATAGGGGATTACAGTCAAGAAATTGCATGAAGCTCAGAAGAGACTTTGAACTTTGGACTTTTAAATAAGTGTCAGACTGTTATAGATTCTGGGGACTTTTGAATTTGGACTGAATACATTTTTGCTTTATGATAATGGCTACAAGCCTTTGGGGGCCAGAGAGTGGAGTGTGGTGGTTTGAAAGAAAATGGCCCCCAAAGGGAGTGTGTTGTTTGAAATGTTTTTGCTCTTTTTTTCTTTTGGCTTTTTTGAGGGGGCCACCACCCAGCTTCCAAATAACTCACACACAGAGGCTTATGCTTAGTTATGAATGTTTGGCCTTAGCTTGGCTTCTTTCTAGTCAGCTTTTCTTAAATTAACCCATCTACCTTTTCCCTCTGGGCTTTTATCTTTCTTACTTCTGTATGTCTTACTTTCCTTCTTTCTCCATGGGTGGCTGGGTGGCTGGCCCCTGACATCTTCCTCTCCTTGTTCTCTGGCTCCTCGCCCTCTCTTCCTCACTTCTCCTTCTATTTATACTCTCTGCCTGCCAGCCCTGCCTATCCTTGCTCCTGACTCTGCATTGGGGGTTCAGCCAATTTGCCTCTTAATTAGACGTCAGGTGTTTTAGGTAGGCAAAGAATCACAGCTTCACAGGGTTAAACAAATGCAAAATAAACAAAAGTCACACACCTTAAAATAATATTCTACCACAGGAGTGGCACTGTTAGGAAGTGTGACTTTGTTGGAGTAGGTGTGACCTTGTTGGAGGAAGTATGTTACTGTGGAGGTGGACTTTGAGGTCTTATATATGCTTAAGGCACACCCAGTGTCTCAGACCACTTCCTATTGCCTGTGCAAGATGTTGAACTCTCAGGTACCGCTCTAGCACCATGTCTACCTGCACACCACTATGTCCCACCGTGATGATGATGGACTAAACCTCTGAACGGTAAGCTACCTAATTAAATGTTTTCCTTTTTAAGAGTTGCCATTGTCCTGGTGTCTCTGCACAACAATAGAAACCCTAATTAAGACAGATGGTTTTAAAAAGATTCTATATATGAGGTCTTTGTGGTGAAGTCAAGAGCATGAGCTAGGGGTTGAGCTTTAATTAAACACATACAATTGTTTCATGATAATGGCTAGGATGATAGAGCATGTATACACAGACAAGGAGTAGTGGTGTATGGAAGAAGATAGTTTCTCTTAAAATAAATCCATATATATATTGGTCTTGTGGGGTTTACTTAAGAGGGTCCATAAAGAGGCTGTGATGGAGTTTGTTTGAAGAGCATAAAATGAGCCACAGTCATTTGAGTTGATGGACATGAACTTATTCATCAGCTTCCATAACTAGTCAAGGCACTTAATTTTTTTAAGGATCAGTTATATGTATGTGTGTTTTGCCTGCATGTATGTCTGTGCACCATACATAAGTCTGGTACCCACAGAGGTCAGAAGAAGGGGTGGGACCTCCTGGAACTGTAGTTATGGATGGTTGTGAGCCACTGTGAGTTCTGGTAACCAAACCTGGATCCTCTGCAAGAGCAGCCAGTTCTGTTAATTGCTAAGCCACTTTTGCAGTCCCCAGAACCACTTAAAATTTTTAAGAGGAAAATTCAGGGCATATAACTCAAACTCATATTTTAGATTCTACAGTGCTCCTTGTCAAATAGCAGATCTTCTAAGATAAATGAAATGATGAGTGGGAACAATTTTATTAGTCATAATCTGTTGGCATTATTTATTTTCTTTGCAGCAATTTTGGACTTCTTGAATTAGAGCCAGAATGGTGGCTGCTATTTAGTTTTTGTTTCTGTGCTCACTGTGGAGTAACTAGATTCAACCAAGAAAAGACATTATAAATCTGAGCTCTTAATACTTTAGGAGTAAAGTCATTAAGCCTTTCTAACTGTTAATTTGATTACTTCAGGGGTTTATGAGCAAACTTTCAGCAACAATGCTGTTTCCTGGTGGCTTAGAAAAAAAAAAAAAAAAGGAAAATGGCTGTAGAGGTTTTCAACTTTAGAATCACTTGGGAGATGGACCTCTGGGAATGCCTGTGGGGATATCTTGAATGTTAAGACAGGAAGACCTGCCCACTGTGAGTGGCACCTGGTTAGAATACTAGATTTAATTTTTTAAAATGACTTATTTATTTTTATGTATATGAGTATTTTTGCCTGCATCTATGTCTGTGCACTCTGTGTGTACAGTACCTTCAGAGGCCAGAGGTGGGTATCAGATCCCCTAGACCTGGAGTCACAGACAGTTGTTAGCCACCATGTCAGTGGTGGGAATTGAATCCAGGTCCTCTAGAAGTATAGCCCATTCTTTAACTCTGACCCATCTTTCCAGACCAATGGATCCTAGGCTTTTTTTTTTTTTTATTATAAATGCTGGGCCAATAGCTCAGGTTTGTTACTAACTAGCTCTTACAACTCTTACAACTTAACCCATTTCCATTAATCTATTTGCTGCCCCAAGGCTGGTGGCTTTTACCTCTGTCCCATTTTGTGTGTCCAACTTGTTCTTTGCACCTTGCAGTTCAACTATAGATCAAGGCATTGAATGTCTAGAATCCCAGAAGGGTAGCTGTGGACACACCTATGTAGACATTCATTCCAATGCACCCCTTACTCCTGTATTGTGCTAAATGTAGAAGAAACCAGTGTTAGAAAGTATATTGTTGGCTATGTATGGGAAATTCTCAAAATTTTGTTTTCACCATTGTAGTATTAGTTTCCTAAAATTTGAGGGCATGTACAGACAATATTATTTTGAACCATGAACCATACTTACCGGTAAGTATGGTACAACTATAGCTGCTGGAACCATGGCTCAGACTCACAAGTAAGTGTCCTAACTTTTGTGCTCCAACACAGAGAGTTTTCCAGGAGTGTATTGTCAATCTCTGTAATGAGGACCTTGAAATCAGGGTTATGAAATTTTGTTTTGAGGTGAAGTGGTAGTAAAGATGGTGTTATGTATCTTAAAACAGGAGACATTGGTGATCTGAGGATGTAAAATGTCAAGAGGATTCTGCTGGGAAACAAATGTTAGGAAAACATTATTGTAAGCCTATTTTTCTAGAGCCTTCTGCTTTTGTGTTAGTAGTCTTGTGTATCTTGAAAGCCATTAGAAAGCCATCTTGTGGATGTATTTTGGAAGTGTCAATCATTGGGTGTAGTGGCACATGCCTGAAACTCCAGCATTTGGGAAGTTGAGGCAGGAGGATTATGAGTTTGAGTCCTGTCTACAAAGGCTACAAAGTAAATCCTTGTCTCACTGAAACAGAATGAGAAAGTACAGTGGCAGGGAGGAAGTTGTTATCAGTCTGTATTCCATGCTCTGTGGGAAGACTCCACATATTAGGGTTTGGGGAGGGGAGAAAAAAACCCAGAGTAGCAAATTATGTCATGTATCCATGTTTGCTCCTGGGGAAGGGAAAGACATGGAGATATCTGTCAGCTGCCCCTAAGTCTCTGTGGTCTTCTGTGTGGCAGCTTCTGCATTCAGTGGAGGTGATTCTGATAATGATGATACTGAGCAACTTTGCACCTGAAACTCGGTTTGTCCCTTTACTTGGTTCACCCATTCTCAGTTCTTTTGAATTTCAGGTAAAAAGCATCAAAATGAATTCCAGCTCCTGGTGGATCAGGCCAAAAAAGGATACAAGAAAACTGGCATAATGTCTAAAGCTATAGTAATAGGAAAAGATGGACCTGTGGAGAAGCTGTCGTCTGCAATCACAGGTAAGACTTACTAAAACAAAAGCATAGTGACCCAGGTCACAGTCTGTTATTGATGTCGGGACCAGGGACTTGAAGACAGGTCAGCTTGCTTGTTCCAAACAGCATGAGTTACAACTAAGAGACTCACCTCACAGTCAGAGAAGTACAGCAAGAACCATGCTTACTACTTGGCTCTCAGGCTAGTTTATATTCAGCCAGCTTTCTTATGTAGTTGAGTCCTGTCTATCCAGGAATGTTACTACCTATATTTAGTGAACTAGGTCCTCTTACATTAATTAGCAATCAAGACAGTCCTTCCACAGACATACTCACAGGCCAGTCTAGTCTAGGGAATTTCTCAACTGAGGTTTTCTTTCATATGGTTCTAGATTGTGTCAAATTGATAGTTAAGCTAGTTGAATTCCTATCCCCGTATCTGCCAGTTTGACGGCATTCTCCACCGACTATTGAGTGATTGAATGGTCTGGGTAGGTGGGGTTTCCTGGGTGATTGGTTCCCCTACTCATTCTATGCTACAAGCTGCAAGATCATACAGTAATTAAACAGCCTCATTTCACAGGTCAACCCATCAGAGTCAAGGATTTTGTATGGAGGATTTAAACTAAAACATAAGGAATGTTGGAGTTATAGCCTTGTGAATAAAGTGGCTATTTCTTACTGTAAGAATTCTTGTTGTAGCTTATTCCCATCTGTTACAGACTTGGGATTTATTTCCTGCAGTTCAGCACTATCTGGTCATTTATTGGGCACAGTTTCCCCTATGAAGTTAGGGTATATTGATACCATTCCTGAGCTATGTGTGAAACCTGTTTCCCAGCACCAGGCCTCTGTTCCCTTCTCCAGTGTAATCAGAGATCTGCCTTCCTGCAATTAGCTTTACTGGCAGACATTTGGTCTTTAAGACATTCCCAGATATTCAAGGACATAGAATTACTACATGCCTAAAACTGGTGATTCATAGCCACTTAGATAACATAGAAAATAAGCATGCCCTAGTTTTACCTCACTGGCATTTCTGGAAACTTAAAGAGAAGCAGTAACCTCAAGTAAACCTGAACTAATAGATTCTCAAACTTCTTCCATTTACCTTCATCCCAGTTTATTAACCCAAGATCTTACTTAGCTTAGAGATTTACTGCTCGTGTTTTCCCTGAGAAGATAACGACAAAGGTAATCAGCCCATTTGCTCATCTCAGAACTTTTCCTGAAGACCCGTGCCACAGCCATGGCCAGGTTCCATTTCTTGTGCAAATTAAACTTAAATACTCTCTGCTCTTTGATCCACAGCCTTAAAGCAGTAGGTGCTATCTTTAGATTTAAAAAGCTTCTTTTAGCAGCGAACCACAGTGAAGGTGCTACAACATGCTGCACGTATTTCCTCTGCTGTTTATGCAGATTGCCTAATTACTGTCCTTAGCTTACCTCTTCCATTGGAAAAATGGTGTGTAGAAAGTTTGGAAGGGTGCATGGAGAAAGGACAATTTTACGTTACTCATAAGATCTGCTGATCAATAAAATTTTAGCTTAAATACTTAGTCACACTAAAAGAATATAGTTAAGCATATGATTGCTTTCTGCCTTTAGACTCCCATCTTGATTTAATCCTTAGTTGACCCCACCAAGGAGCCTTCACTAGTCATGTCACTTCTAAATGAAAACTGACAGTTATTGCTCTGTGTGTAAATCTTATCTGTCTTGCTGACCCTGAGAAACTGAAACCTCACATTGTATTGTCAAAAAGAATTACTGTTGCAAACGTATATATACTGGTACCCCCCAAGAACTTGTGTTGGAATATTAAAGAGACATGGATAGAAAGATCATGTTGTGAATAGATTCTTTTTCCCTCAGATTTTAGTTCCTTCACTTATTGTAGCTTCTGTTTTGAACCCTGTGTGAAAGCTTTAGAAGCAGGCCTTCTGAAGTTTTCAATGGTTCTATGTTTGTAAGAGGAAGTTCTGAACCTTCTGGAAAGTCACTGGTTAATGCCCTTTATCTCTCCCTGATGAACGCCAGAGGGTGTGACTCTGACTTGGTCATATTAGTTTATTGGTACTTAGGAAACATTAGGAACTTACACTAGTGATGAATGCCATCCTTCTGCACAACCAACATTGAGGAAATACTGGGTATATGAATTTGGGAGGTGGTTTTGTTTTTAAAGAATTTGTCCTATTCAATAAATTTTCTCTGCTAACAGAAGTTTAGCAGTTGCTTTTAGTTATTTATTTATTCATTTTCTGAATTGTCAGGATAGCACAGATGAAAATCCCCACAGTATTGGCACACACTATAAAAGAGAGAGTCCTAGGTAGCAGACAATCTGGCACTTGCACTTTTATTTTCAAACATTTGGCTATGCCTGTATGTCATATTCTTTCAAACCACCCTTAGGTGTTCCTGTATCTATATCTTTATCTTTATAAAAAGAAACTTTGAAAACAGAATATGACAAAGGATGTACAGAAATGTGATGTGTCAGATCAAGTGGCAAGATTCCTATGTCTGAGTGGTTTTCCTTTTCCTTAAAGTGAATAGTTTATTTAACGGGTCCATAGATGTTTGATACCATGTTGTGACAAATAGTATGATTTCCTAATTAGTTGAGTCTGCTTTGTTAATTTGCCACAGTTCTTTGATTTTGGAATATGCAATTATTCCTTAGTAATCTGCTGATAGAAACTTCATTAGAATGGTGAGGCATTCCCATCTCTGGTTTTAAAGAAAACTTTACTTTTTTAGAGGGATGGAATTCAAGACAGGGTTTCTCTGCTTTGGAGGCTGTCCTGGAACTAGCTCTTGTAGACCAGGCTGGTCTTCAACTCAGAGAAATCCACCTGCCTCTGCAATGAATTAATCCTGGAAAACATAAATGAGATATAGTAGCAATAATTTGTCATTTCTTATTTTACAGGTTTAGAATCAGTATTCTTTTACTTCTATTTTTAAAGTAGAAATAGCAATATTAAAGAAATATAGGGGTATGCATTTTAAGGTCCTCTTTAATTTTTTAAAAAGTTTTATATTTCCTTGTTAGGACAAGAATATAATGTGAACTTCTCGGATACAGTCTCAGTAACAAACCACTTTCCTCAGTCCAAACTGGACTCCCCAGGGCAGTCGGAGCCTGAGAGACCGGATGATTCTTCTAGTTGTACTGATATTCTTCTCTCCTCAGAATCAGATTCATGCAATAGGTAAGAAAGACTGGCTCTTTTACATTTCTGCTTCTGTCATAGTCACTTTCCTGCCGCTGTGACAAGCTTCCTTGACAAAATCACCTTTAAGGAGAAAGGGTTTATTTTGGCTCACAGTTCTGAGGCACAGGCCCCTCTGGGAAGAAGATCATGGTGGCAGGAATTTGATGCAGCTGGTCACATGAACAGTTAGGAGAGGAGGGAGGACAAGTGCTGGTGCCCAGTCACTTTCTCCTTTTCATAGAGTCCACAGCCCGTGTACAGGGAATGGACCTGCCCACTCCTGGGATGGGTCTTCCAATCTTGATGAGCCTAATCAAGATGAACCCTCTTAGGTTTGCCCGGAGGCTTGTCTCCTAGGTAAGTCCAGATTGTATCAAGTTGATGCTCAATACCTCTGGACCAATGGTCCTCTGCCTTCCTAATGCTGTGATCCTCGTGCTTTGATGATCCCCCGCCCCCTAGCTGTAACATTATTTTGTTTTGACTTCATAACTGTAATTTTTGCTACTCTTATGAATTATAATGCAAATACCTACAGGACATCTGGTATGTAGTTTTCAAAGGGGTTGAGAGCTGCTAATCTAGAAGATAGTTTCATGGTCCATATCAGTTCTCTTTCCTTTCTGTTTATTTTTTGGGTCGTCTTCATAGTGATAGCAAGCTGGGATGTGGGAGGGTAGTGTAGTGATCATACTGTGATTTTGTTTTCTTTTTTCCCCTTAGAGTTGGTGGAGCAAACATGAGAGGCAGTGAGGTTTCTTTTATTTGTTTTGTTTTGTCAAGAAAACATATAAGGGGATGATCAGAAAGATAGTGCATACAGGAAAGAGAAATTTTTAAGTTACCTCAATGCATGGGATAGATTGGGAGGATTTAAAAGATTAGATATTTAATGAAGGGCAATTTTGAAAATGTTAAATATATAATTTTTATTTCATTACTGGGTATTATTTTATTACTGGGTATTGAGCCTACCTAGTGCCTTTGACCTAGGGTAGCCAGGAGAGGACACTGGATTCCTGAAACTGGAGTTAAAGATGGTTATGAGCCACCATATGGGTACTGGAAACCAAACCTGGGGCTTCGATCTAACTGCAGACCCGTCTCTCCAGTCTTCAAAAAGTTTTTTTAAAAATAATTTAAAAATAGGCAGACCTAAATTTATGCACATCATAATTGGTTATATGTGTGTGAGTATGTGTTTATACATATATCCACACCCATGGCCCACTAACAATAACTCTTACTGTGCAGCAGTGTGTAATGTGGTATTAATGAGGTGTATTCATCATTGCATAAATGGTAGTTCTATATTTTCATTAAAAATAAGTTTTTTTGCAGACTCTAGTTAAGAAAAATGCAACTACAGAGAGACTTACTACATTTTTGTTAGGGAACCATGTATCAGGGATTGCCTGTTACATATTTAGCTAAAGCAGGAAAAATAGTCACATCATGTACCTTAAAATAAATGGAAGAAATTTCTTTTCTTTGAGACAGGGTCTTTCTATATAGTTCTGGCACTTACTGTATAATCAGGCTGGCCTTGAACTCAGAGAGATCCGCCTGGGTCTGCCTCCTGAGTGCTGGGATTAATTTCATATTAAAATCGAAGCCCATCAAAGTATGGATTTATTTATTTATTTATTTATTTATTTATTTATTTATTTATTTGTAGTGATATTCAGGCACTAAAGGGAACAAAGGGAAAGGAGATGGGATACTGGAGTATACTGTAGTGACTTCATTGAGATCTTCTGCAACCTTAAAATTGTGTCATCCTTTTACTTTTGGCAGTATGGTTGGTTGGCAAGTGAACAGAATGTTCCTCTACCACTTAGCCATTGGAGGTTATAAATAAACCTAGAATTTTATTTATTTCTTTTGTAGTGAAATGTTTCTATCTTTATGTTTTGCATTTTTATCAAAAATTTTAACCCTTTTTATGACCATTTTGTTGTATTATTATGTGCTTTTATTTTGAAGAATCTCTAGGTTATTATTTTGAAAAAGTGATTTTCGTTTTGTTTTGTTTTTCTTCAAGACAGGGTTTTTCTGTTTAGCCCTAGCCATTCTGGAACTTACTCTGTAGACCAGACTGGCCTTGAATTTAGAGATTTACCTGCCTCTGCCTCTTGAGTGCTAGGATTAAAGGCACTGCCTGGCTGAAAAAGTATTTTTTGACTTGAAAGAGACACTATCTTTTGGCATGATTGGAGAACTAGGAATAAGGTCTTTAGATTCTGGTACTGTAGCAGTATTCAACTTCTTGATTTTGATAGTTGTATGGTTCTGGTGGTTATTGTATGGACTGCTTCTTAAGAAAGGCACACTGACATATTAAAGAACATTTGCTGCAATGCCCTAAATTTAAAAAAATGCTTTTAAAATTACATTTTATGTATGTGTATTGTGAAAAATAGAAAAGTTGAATTAAAGGAATAAAGTTTCATAATTTAGTTAGCTTGAAATAACACTAGTACATTCATAAATATGCCTTCCACAGATAGATGTATGTATGGGTAAATGGGTTCTTTCTTTTTTTTAGCAGTAGGACCATGGTATGTTTAATATTTTTCTTTGTCAGGGAAATGGCATGTTGTTGTGGGTCTAATGTGAGTGGAAACCTGTGAATTGTCTTTCTTTGCCAGAACTGAACATACTGAAGAGGTTAGTTTTCTTTGTGCTAGAGTGGTATTCAAATTTATATAACATGGAAGATAGACAACTAAGAACAATCTTAAGATTTGGTGTGTGTATCCCATCCAGAGAGTTGTTAAGATAAAGTGGTCTTATTGCTGGCATAGCTTGTAAATACTACTTTTAGCACACACTTTGTTAATACTGTATCGATCTTCTTTTGCCAGCTTGAAAACAGATGATAAGCGGATTAATAAGAATTTCAGATTGTTGTTCCTTGCTAGATGATTTCCCGGAGTTCAAGAGACTTGTCCAAATTTCTGTAAATTAATTTATTGTTCTCATTAATCAAGAAAAGAGTGCTTTTGTTTGCTGATTCTTGGCAAACCGTGGACACTGCATTTTTATTGAAGGCTAAATTAGAAGCAAAGATGCTGTTGATTAGGACCCTAGACAAGAGAGACACTATCTTCATGAAGAAATGATTTGTGAATTGTGTCATGCTTTTTCTTGGAAGAATCTTTAAATCATTATTTTGGAAAAATATTTTTTAATTTGAAAGAGACTGTCTTTTGGCATGAGTGGAGAAATACAAATAGGCTCTCTGGATTCTATTGCTGTACCAGTATTTAATTTTTTGATTTATTGTATGGATTCATTCTTAAGAAAGTCACTGATGAGTTAAAGAACAATGGCAGCAACTTGCTTTCTATGGTTGAGCATTTTGTATATGTGTAGCAACACAGATAGATGTGATAGACTGTTAACATTTGGAAGATCTGGGGCTTGTAGGTTTAAAATCATTAAAATTCATGAAAAAATTCATCCATTGTGAAATAATTTTGGTTGTTACACTGTAAGTGAAATGGCTGATTTTTCTACATCTAAGACATGTTCTAAAAAGTAACGCAATTAACTTTAAAAGTAGTGTCCATGAGCTTACATAGGGGGATGGATACGGTTTCCATTTAATTTGGTCACCCTGGTCACAGCCTGCTGTGCATGGTTATCTGAGCCAGTGTATTAAGGTGCATGGGCACTTGTGGCTTTTGATGCTTATAAAGATTAGCTAATGTCATGATTCTTTGGTCAAGTTTGTAGTCTGCCCTAACTTAGGTAGGTGAGCCTTCCCACGGATACTGAGGGTAAGACATAAAAAGAATCCGAGTCATTAATATGTGAAGGAATAGCATTGTAACTTTCAAATCTGGTTAAAAAAAAATGACTTTATTTTTCCGTATTAAGTTAGGAACAGCATCTTTATGACAGAAATTACTCACAAGTATAGGTACAGAATGCTGGACCCGTGGCAAATAGCATCTATCTATTGGCTTGTGTTTTCCAGCTTCATAGAACTTTTCTTCACTTTTATTCATTTCTGAAAGGGCTATCTGGAAAACTTGAGAGCCAGAGCAGAGGGAAAAAAACCAAAACTAAAAAAATTTACCACCTTTTAAAGAACATGTTAGTTATTAAATTCTAACCTCTTCTGAGGGAAATGGAAAATAATGGACATAGCTTAAGGAAAAAAATGACATTGGATCATTCATCTAAGGATGATGCTGTTCCCGTTGGCTCTGGGTAAGGGCAGACAAGTACATTGCTTAGTGAGGGGAATGGCTACCCTTCATAGCCAGAAGGGTACAGACGGGTTGTGGCTTGACAATATAAAGCGTTTGGCTTTACTCAGGCCAAGGCAAGGATTGGTTGGGTATCCCACTAATTGGAGTTGCTTAATACAGGAGAGCATGATTTTGAGATGAAAAGATCAGAGTCCTGGAGTGTGTCCCTTGATGTTTCATACTGAAAAGCTAATGGGTCTTTCGGAAGTTTTATGATTGAAGAGTAATCCACAGCTTTTGTGTTCCTGGTGAGAGCCTGGTGAACAGTTCTGTTATATCAAAGAAGAATGGTGAAGCCTTGTTCAAGAGGCAGTGAGCTGTGTGTGCTTCAGCGGATGCTACTCGAGTACTGGTAGTGCTATAAGATGTGTAATCTTAGTTCCTTGGAGATGCAGAAATGAAATGGCCAGGAGTCAGGGTAGTCAGGAAGTGGCAAGTCAGATTTAACTCAACTGTTTGATTGTAGAGCCCTCAAAGAACCTAGCATTTTTCCTCTAAAGAGAAGTATGTACTTAGCCCTGAGGGAGCAGACCTAACAGGAGGACTTCTATACAGAGAGGGGACGTGAAGTAGGAAAGGGAAGACAGCATTTAGGGTTCATGCCATCAAACCAGATGCCATTGTCTGACGGGGCGGCGGGGGCTGGGGTTTATTCTGGGGAAATTGAGTGCATTGCAACAGTGAGGTCAAGCCTGGCACACTAAAGGGATGGGGACAAGGTACAAGGAGATCTGC